AGCTATGTGAAATTGTGACAACTGCTCTTGAAATAGGGGGTCTGGGATTTTTTTATTTGAAAGGCCCTCTATGTTCCACATACCCACCTTCAAAAAATTTGAATTATATGCAACATGTTTGGAATATTTTTTCATGATGAAATAATAGAGATAAAGGATACTGGATTACACATTTTGAAATTATAGTACAAGAGCTATAAACATATATTTATACCAAAAAAAAAATAAAAAAAAATGATTTTATCAATGACATAGAAGCATTTCTTCTGATATTACGAATTTTAAAAACTATTCATATAGAAACCACATTATGCTTATTAAGTAATACATCAGTAAAGTATACAATTATGTGGTCTATGAATTACACTAAACACAAAATTGGATAAATGGTACATATTATCTACATTAATAACTGTAGATTGAAGTAAATTCTAGTGCACATAGATCAGTTTGATGTCAAAATTGAATACCATACCTAAAAGCGTACTAAAAATACAAATATAAAAGTATTAAATGAACCATTATTTCTAAAGCTGGATGATATCTTAGACAATATGATCAATGAAGGTTAGTAATTTAACAGTATTCTGATACAATATAAACAATTACCGTAATAACGTAAGTATTAACGATAAGTTTACAGGCGCAGAGGACATATGATATGTCAACGATGGAATTGAGGGATAGACCAAGGTGCGTTTCCAAGGATTCATCGGTGGGTAAAACCATGGCATAATGTTCGGTTGGCTGGGAGATCCACTCCCACGTACGGACATGTTCATTTGTCTGTTGAGTTTGTTATATTTTGCGGTTCTTTCTCCCGAATTTGGGAAGGGCTTGTGCTGGTTATTCCCCCTCTCCCGTGTGATGTTTAGAGCAACTTTCAGGTGCTTCACAATGGCCGGTAGGCCTTTTTTGAAGTTTAAATGTATATTGTCGTGGAACATATCTTCTGTGGGTTCAAATGGGTCCACCATTATCACGCTGGTATAGAGACGAGTAGCAGTATGAATTTCATAGTTTGCCCGATCCACCATACTGTTTTCCATATCTTTTCTGTGAAGTATTGGAAGCAGAAATATTTTTGAATTCCCCCATGATGATGTGCACAATTCTAAAAGGTGCTTAAAATCTTCTTTTTTCACATTGTTGTTAGCGAGATCCCTCGTTCCTATGTGAATCAACACTGATTTGGGGTTGAATTTGTGACTGTGCTTCTTGACGAAATCTGAATACAATTTTGCTCCTCCTCTTATGAATCGTACTACAGTCTTTCCTTCGGGTGTAAATCGTTTGGGTTGAATTTTTCTAAGTATAGAATCACTTAGGATGAGGATGTCACAGTCTGTAGTGCTGTTCGTGGCCTCACCTGTTAGAGGCAATTTTTTGTCTGATGTGTTGGACAGCGTTTTATCCTCAAGGGAAAGATTTACCGTCGAATGGTCTATAGGTTTATCATAGTTGGTTGGACGCATTGGTTGTGGTTCTTGTTCATGTCGTGTTGGGCTTGTGTTTACCCTGGGAACAGAATGTTCACTGAGATGGTTCGCATTATGGTCAGGGGCAAGCCAGGATGATTTTGACATTTCAAGTTGTTCAATGCGGTCTTGCAGGTTTGTGATCTGTGACTGAAGAGTTTCAAGTGATACTGTATGCCCTTCTTGTAACCCTCTAATTTCTTTCAATTGATTATCCAGGACATTGGGCTTCACATGTAATGAATCAATAGCAGAGTTGCAGTGTTTGACTTTGGAGTCAATAGAGTCTAATTGTTCATGAAGCTTTTTCTTATGGTCCACAAAAAGTGACTGGGACAATTCTGGTATTTGCGAGATTTGGCCTTTGACCAAGTTCAGTTGAGAAAGTTTTTCAGCAAATGATTTGAGAGTGTTATCAATTACTGATAGCATGTTGTGGACTTCGGTGAATTTCATTTCTATAGTTTTACTATGCTGCTGTACTTTTTCTTTAGGTGTTATTTGTCGTTTAAGAGCCTGACCTGATTTTTTGATTGGGGTGGATTGCGAGATGTCTGTACCGATTAATTCGCTTCCAAATGCTGCTTTTAATTCAGTCTCTGAATTGTTCAATGTGGCAGCTACTTCATGTTCACTGTCAATGTAAGTGTCACTCACCGTCTAAGAAATGTCTTGTGTATTGGCTGTGTTGTGGCTCAGAGCTTTGTTAATCGTCACATTGCAAGTGTATCTTTGCATCAGTATTGTCGTCGGAATTCACGACATTATCGATGTCATCTCCTGTAAGACATTCGTCGAATTTTGACGGAAGTTTGTGAATGCGTGATGTTGCCATGACTGTTCAATGTTCAATTTGTATCGTAATTATCCAGCATCCGATATCAAACTATACTTAAAATATGATCAACATTAATAATGTTGTGTTTTTAAACGTAGATACCTGATGATTTAATTTTTTCTCTCAGCAAAATTTTCTGAAGATGCTGCTTCGCCGGAAGCGGAAGTATTATATTTATGAATGTTCAATATAGAAAATGCCTGAATGCATGAGGAGTTATTGTCCATGGCAACATTTTTAAAGATTGAATATAATTGATTTAAAAAAGAAAAAAAAATATAATTCTTTTAATAAACAATTAATTGCATAACACTTATTGAAAAGCATTCACCCAAAAGATATTTTTCCAATAGGTATGAATTTAGATTAGGAATAATTTTTTGCAAAAACCTATGGCATCGCAGGAAATGCGTTAATATACATAATTTACAGTAGTCAAATTTATATGTTTAAGCTAGATTATAAATATGAGAGATAAACTACATGTAAGTTGTTAGCATATTACACATTCATTGTTCTCCCTCAACCACTGAAAAATCATGTTCATAATTCTACCAACTTCTAAACAAATTTACAGAGCTATCGAAGGCAGGTCCACAAATTTAGAATATACCATCCGATGTTTCGAACTTAGATACTTGTACCGTGTCATGGTAGGCTTTGGCGCACTAAAGTACCATCACTGCCCAATGGCTTTAAAATTGAGTGCTGAGTAAAGGTATAAATTTGAAGTCATTACCTGCATATGATAACGTCACTTTATGAGGGAAAAATGATAATAGAGTCGTAAAACAACATACTATCAATCAATTCATCAGTCTTAACTTGACCACGGTCCTTTGTGCATCTCAGGCACGTAGCAACCGGGGGGGGGGGGGGGCGGGCCCCCCCCCCCCCCCCCCCCCCCCCCCCCACTTTTTTCACCAACCTTATTTATACTATAGGAAATGTTCATTGAAAGGCTGGTTGCCCCCCCCCTTTTTTTGTTGTACAAGGAAAATGTAGTCTAAAAATTGGTACTGAAAGAAGGTATCATTGAAAAAAAGTTGGCCTAAACCCCTAAAGTAGATGTAGGGTCTGATAAGTTTCGCATTTTTCTTAGGGAAAAGGAAGTAATAATGATTTTTAACCGAGCTTTGCTGAAAGCAAAGTCCTGGCTCTAGGCATCATGATCGACCGTTTTACTATAAATAGCACAATAAACAAAAAACCAAACAGCATCAAAGCAGACACTTCCGATAAAAAAAAAAATAGTCCCATTGCGAGAAGATATTTAAACAAATATTTTAACATCCCAATCGTTGGAAAAGTTTATGATCAATATTTTTGCTTGAGAATTAAACTGAAAGAGAAATTTGATATTTGCTTTATGGGAATAATCGTGATACATGTATTACGATTTGCACACATACGCTGCTGATTGCATATTGTAAGCGAACTATTTTCAATAGCCCTGGTTTTTCGAAACGTTGAAATTGTTGAAGAGTTTTCTGTTTCATATCGTTTTTGTCGATTTTATGATAGTGGTTATATTCTGTTTTGATTTTTAGCAAATTAATAGTATATTGAATTGGATTTTTTTAGAATTAATATGCGTGAAGACTCTTGACAATTTACATGCATCAGTGTTTCTACATATAGTTGGCGATAAAAGTACCGTTTGTTTGAAACTAAGAGAATGTCTATAAATAAACATGTGCATTATTTTAATTATTCCAAGACTGAATTAAATTATGAGAAAAAATGCTTATTGAATAGAAAATATGCGAGAATTTCTTGGAAATATTCTTTATCAAATTTCAAAATCATTACAGATCTTGGGGTCTGGACTGTTAATTTTAATTACTGGTATATGGGATATTGTTTTAAATCATAATCATACAAACTCTACCTGTTAAAAATCAATGGCAAAATAGAATAAAAATAAATATTTACTAATTCCGATCAGACAATATACTCGAGCAGTTAAAGCCCAGACACGTAGCATCGTTTTTGAAAGTGGGGGGGGGGGGGCAACCAGAGAAAAATTTTTTTTACTTACCTGTAAAAGTTGACAAACAAAACAAAAAAGGAAATTTCCGAAACACGAAAATCCTATTTCGTGTGTGTGTGTGTGGGGGGGGGGGGGGGTGGTTTAGTGGCCAACTTTGTTCAAGGGCAACTTCCTTTCACCTCTAATTTTTGTGCATACAATGCTACATTTTCCTTTATATCACTATACTGTGGTAAGAAGTGGGGGGGGGGCAACCAACCTTTCAATGGACATTTACAGTAGTAAAGGAAATGTTGGGAAAAAAGTGGGGAGCAGCCCCCCCCCCCTCCCCCCGTTGCTACGTGCCTGAAGCCCGGCTTTCAGTTCTTCTAATACTTGATTATTACATGTCAAAAAAATTCTCTGTTTCTCCCTCGACCATAATTTTTGCCTTAATTTATATATATTATGCGTGTAAACTCAAGTTTATTTAGAAAAAGTACAGAAATTTCTGGAATCTCATGATATATTGTACTACATATTTAAACCCTCAGGTATGCATAAATTTACAACAATTAAACATATTTTTATAATCACTCGAGAGGAAAAACCCTATACAAATAAAATGTAAAGAGCTAATTATGTTCTATATGTAAAGAGATAACAATATTTCTTTGAACAGATGAACAATTCTATTTTTTTTTCTTTATAGTTAATCACTGTCTCTTTCACAAACCACTGGTCTTTGCTCTGTGCATGAAATATCATTCCACACTCCCTTATATCCCGTAGAGATCACTACACATTCTTCAGAAGGGTTGTTAGGCTCATTATTAACAGTAAACCAGTTAGTATAGTTTGTCGTTTCTCCACTTTTCAACCAGTTAAATGACCCAGAGTCATCCGTGTCATATGCGTTCAGCCAGTATTCATATGGAGCACCGCAGTGATCAGCAGCTATCATAATAGAACGAGTAAAGGTAACAATCGGTAAACCTACATTTAAAGACTCTCTTCAAATATTTGTATTGTTCATGGATTTTTTAGGATCAAACATTGTTTGTTTTCTTCACCCTTTTCATTCAACAAACTAGGAAAAGATGTTCATTATGGGGGGCAAGAAAAATGATAAGAAAAAAAATCTGCATGTATCTCAAAATACAGATTTCAAAAAAACATTAAATTTCTTTCTCTCTCTCTCTCTCTTTTTTTTTTTTTTTTTTTTTTACAATAGTTAACATTTTATGCTTCAATAGAGATAATCTACATCTAAAAATACAGATTTAATGCTTCAATCATGAGATAGTAGATTAATAATTACTTCACAATATTTCACATTGTCACTATTTTAGAATGATCTAAGAGGTACAATGTAGCATCAATAGTTCGTTAAAATAAAAAAAAGTGTTTATAGAAAAACTTAATTTTACATTTTCTACACAATAACTTACTATAAAAATCAAGGTTGTAATCGATATGTTCTGAATTTGTCCAAACTTAAGAATCTTATATACAGTGTTAAGTCAATATTATACAATTATTGCTGGTTTTTGAGGTCAATGCAATGATTTAGCCATCTGAGGAGTACAATATTCACCGAGCCCGAAGGGCGAGGTGAATATTGTACTTCGAAGATGGCTAAATCATTGTATTGACCGAAAAAACAGCAATAATTGTTTTATTATATGATTCACTGATAAAATGATACAGCTCATTACTTGTTTGCATTTTTATTAAGTCCTAGCCAAATACAAGAGAGAAGCAGAATTAAAATGTGAATAAACTTATACCAGTGGTATCAATTTGAAATGTTTTTTTAAACATGTTAAAATCAATTTTAGTTGCCATGAAAGAAATATATAATGTCAGTCTTTTTTATATAGGATAGATTTTGAAAGGAAGGAGTATTATCAGGGAAAACTGACTGCCAAAAAGTAAAAAAAAAATGTTGTTCAGTAAAAGGGTTGGAGGGGGGTTCCTGCATCCCCTCTTACCACCCTCACCTAAAATATATATTCGCTTATGTTTTGTTCACAAGAAAATAAAAATCATAGTCGTTTAAATAGCTTTCCAAAACAATTTGTATCAATTTGGAATTTTCCAATCTATTTTTAGATCAATGTAGAGGAAATAAATCCTTGTATTGACCTGGAACGTCACGTACAGGTCAATACAACGTAATATTTTCCTAACATAGTTGGATCTCAGCCAATCAGAGAGATGGAAATTATTCAATCATATAATAAAAAAAATTATTCCACTTCAAACTGTTAACGATTTGCAACATTTTAATTGAAAGTAGAGTAAGTGCATGTAGGCAGTATTTGTAATTTTAAAAAATTAGAATTAATCCATTTTCGTCTTTAAAAAACAGAATCCGTGAAATGAAATTTCTCTTTGTTAATATACAGACTGATAGACGAATCTCTTGCAAAGATAAGCTAATGCACAAAATCTTTGTTGATCTGCATCACCTTATTAAAAGAGGACAATACTATACCTCTGTTTTGTGTTCAGAGCCACAGTGAAATACTGGTTAAACATACATCAGTTTGACTTATCCCACAATAAATAAAACACATTTTTTATATTATTTAAAAAAAAATTACCAAAACGCATTTATTTTAGCCAGTATATCTGAGATAATTTCGAAGCATTGATAGACACAGTTAATTAAAATTAAATAAAATGAAGTTAAAATTAAATAAGTCATCCTAACTGCATTTGGGTTGAAATAATAATGTTAATAATGAAAACTTACTTAATTTAATCAGCCAGTCGTTTTCAGCTTGAGAGGTAACTTCTGTCACGTAAGATGTGGTAGACAATGCAGAACAGAAAGCCTTTAGATTACAAAAGAAATTCACGTTTGATATCAAAACTCCTTTTTAGCTCACATGAACTTAAGGCTTAAGTTTGCTTTAAAAATAATTTCATATGAACTCCTTTATAAAAAAAAAATATCATCAAATGTAGACTCATCCTAACCCCGGGAGTAATATTTTGAATAAAGTTGATTCTACAATACCTGAGGATGTTTCTAATTTAGTTTTGTAAAATTTTGATCAATTGGTTTTTGTAAAGATATTTTAACATGGTTTTCCTCTAATTTATAATTTGTTATCAATTGAAAATAAAAATTAATACCATCTACCAAAAGGATACTCTTGAAAAGAGGTTGAAATTGTAAAAAGGTTACAAATGCAACGACAATATTATTGCCAGGCAACGTTAACAGACAAATTTGGAGAGGTTTCGATAAGACTATTCTACAGCCCACGGTTTTAGCAAAAAATGAAATTGGACTTTTTGTCATTTTAAAGTTGGATTCAGGATCTCCAACATTTCAACCTTTATGTTCTATATTTGTTTTTGTAAGAAAAGTTAGGAATATCTTGCAAGAGATGACCGAAATATGGTACCCTTAATCACATTAACATTGTATATATGGGAACAAACGTGTTGCACTCTGAAACAAAACCCTATTTTGAGCAAAGATTACTTACATGCACAGAGGCATTATACTGAAGTATCATCATGGTTCGCAATGCAACACTCACTTAGATATTAATTTCTTTGAAATTATGCAGTGATGATAAATTGTGATTTATTCTTATAAATATTTAAAGACATCGATACGCGTTCATAATAAGGGGATAAATGATTAACCAGGAGATCAAAATTAGTTTTTTTGTCTTACATAAAAGAAAAATTGATGAAAAAGTTGGACTAAACATGTCCGTGTGTGTGTCTGTAAGGAACACAAACATTTCAGGAATCAGATGCTCTAGTTGCATTCTGTGTGTGAAAAACTAATTTACAAGTTTTGACTTATTGTTTTATCCGAAACAATTTATTTTATTTCATAACCTAGAATTATATATTTATATATACTTGATCAATGTAATCAAGAGTGATTGTTAGTTATGGTAATTGACCCAGATATTTCTGGAATGGGAGGTCCGTGACCCAACCTGTCAAAAGGGCGCTCATATTTCTCTCCGTATGGGTGAAACAGCGACAAAGAAATATATTTCTACACCTGGCTATTGAGGAGAAATAATCTGCAAGATTGTGGACCCAACACATACCTTTGGTGTAGAAAGAACCTTTGTGAACTGCGACTCTGGACTAGTAACTCAGATGTCACGAGAGAGCTTCCGCATGGTCAGTTCTGGGAAGGTGCAGGAACGTACATGACTGTAGACATACTGACGCTCTCTATATGAGTAGCTGTGGAGGGTCATATAGGTTTCTATGGAGTGTCGGTGAACGGGAAGGACAGTGTCCTGGCTCAGTGTCCTCAGCTGTGCTGAGAACGCAACCCGGACCTGAATGGGGGTAAATACCTCTTAAACAAAATAATGGATAAATCACTCTCTATTAAATGTTGTTTGTTTCTGCAAAACATTTATAAGGAAAGACAGGAGAAAAGTTAAAGATAGAGCAAATACAGAGCTGCACAGACATGTTTCTCAAAAACTTGAAAACATGAACAAAAAAAGCAAATTTATGGCATCTGTATAATATGCAATCGATGTCGATGTGAGTTTTACAGGGAGCAAAGAGCAGAGGCAACGAAAACTGATGCATCTTCTGTACAAATTGAAGATGATTTGCAAACATCAAAGCCTTGTATTGCAAGCCCAAAACGAATATGCTTATCATTCCCTCGGACTAGTTTGTCCCATAATAAGTGCCAGTTTTGCCAAAGGCAGACAATTTGAAGAACATCAGCAAAGAGATAAGGCTGAAAACATTTATTGATAGTGGGACGTTGATTCCTGATGGGGCGAGATGCTGCAAGCGTCACCTTACAGATGATGGGGTCAATACTGACGTAATGAAAAGGTTGTTGCCAACATCAGATTTTACTAATTTCAATAGAACTGAAATTACAAGCATAAAAATACCGGTAGCTTGAGGGAGAAATGCAGAGAGAGAACAAATGCTGTAGACTTTGATGATCCAGCACCACTATCTGATGAAGATTATTACAATTTGACCGGCGTTACCAAGGCTCAATTTGACACCTTTGCTTTTACTTGACCCCGCATAGAGACTCTACAAACAGGTCATCAAGAACATGCTTGGCTTTGTTATTGACAAAATTAAGAAATGGAAATTCATTAAGTGTTCTAAGCAGTATGTTTCAAATAAAAAATTAAAGTGTCATTTCAAAATCTATTGCAAGTGCAAGGAATTCCTAGATGGAACATTTTGTTCCCAAGTATTTACGATCTGAACACATTACACGGGAGGATTTTATTTCAGAGCACACAAGATCCTATGCTCATCATCTTCTTGCAGATGGGAAACATATTGCTATTCTTGTATTAGATGGGACATATGTTTATATCCAAAAGAGTGGTAATAACTCTTTTCAAAGACAAACATTCAGTAGACATAAACACAGACCACTGGTAAAGCCAGTGATGATTGTTGGAACCGATGGGTATATTCTTGCTGTTTTAGGACCTTATCTAGCCGATGGACGGAACAATGATGCTGCAATTTTGAAGAGTATCATTAAACAAAATGTAGATAAAATCCAGACTTGATTAGAGAGAGATGATCTTTTAGTTGTTGACCGGGGCTTCCCGGATTCCTTTGGGTTTCTCGATTCTCTTGGAATCAACAGTGAGATGCCAGATTATCTTTCTCGAGGTTCCAAACAACACACGACCGAGGAGGCAAACCACTCCCGATGTGTCACAAAGTAAGATGGGTCGTGGAGTCGGCAAATGGTCGAATAAAAACAATGGAAAGCATTAGATCAGGTATTTCCAAACTGCCAAATCAAATGGATAGGGGATTATGTTAGGATAGTATGTGCTATTGTCAATGCTTTCCGGCCACCTTTGGTACGTGAAGAAAACGATGACATCGCTTTTGCAAACACAATGAAAGTCCTCTCGCATACTTCAAACGAGTTACAAAAGCGGGTCGAAAAGGAGAAGTTAGCCTGTAGACGAGTAGGGTGGACTGAAATGTCCCAGGATTGCTTGCAGAACTTTCCACGTTTGACTGGAATTGATTTAAGGTTTCGTCAAAGGTCAACATGTTCAAAAAATTATTTTTACAATAGCCCCAAAACTATGTGACGTATAAAGTTAAACTTTTACAGTTTATAAATTTTTCATTGCTTAACAGATAGAAAGTATCACTTGATAAAAAAAATACTTGGAAAAAATATTAATTGAGAAAAATTCGTCTTAAAAATGCATATATTTTCAAAAAATACACCTAATGAATTCCATGCTCTTTGTGAAAACCATCATTGCAGAAACAAAATATGTTTATCAATGAAGGGCAAGTTGGACTTGGAAAGCCTCTGGAAAGTTGTTTTCCCTGTTTATTTTGTCCAAATGTTAAGGCTTGAAAGTGAAAGTACATTGCAAATGGCGGATTCTATAGGGGTCTTGTCTTTATACATGTCAAGCTTTCAATAAAAGCCTTTCAGAGACCATTCACGTCCAACTTGCCCTTCAATGATAAACATATATTATTTCTGCAATGATGGTATCACAAAAAAGGACAGAATTATGCAGATGCATTTTTTTAAAATATGCCCATTTTCTGATACAATTTTTCTCAAAAAAAAAATCTTTTTAAAAATATTTGTTATCAAGTGATACTTTCTATCTATTAATCAATGATATATTTATAAACTGTAAACGGTTTGACCTTATACCACACATAGTTTTGGAGCTATTGTAAAAATAATCTTTTAGACATGCTGACCTTTGACGAAACCTTAAGAACGTTAACCCTCGGAGTGTACCAAATAACCCAGGCAAAATCATATACCCAGGAACACTTGTCTCCAGATGGAACTTATAGCATATCAATTCACAAAGATGATGCTGGTTTGCTGAGGGCAAGAATTCAGTCACGCCATGTTTCAGCAAAAAGATATTTTCTGTGGATATCATTTGATGAAACTAGCATACCCCCAATTACTGGATGGTATTGTCACTGCAAAGTAGGGGCGAGAACGGTCGATTGTTTTGCATATATCGCTGCAGTCACTTGGTACCTTGGATTTCTACGTCACAGTGTCGATAAGCTTCTGACTGCGACCGACTACGAAGAATTTATTCTTGATGATCCAGACACATGGGATTCAGATGATGAATCTCTAGAATAAACACTGTGCATTTGTATGCATCCAATTTTTCTGAATAAATATTGCATGTATCATGCATGATTAAATGCATTTTATATCCACAATATAATTAGAACATTTTGTAATATATTGCTTTTATATTTGATTTACTTTTTAGGATCGATTTTTCATGCACCATGTGTCAAAAGATTTCTTTAATCCTTTTAGCGTTCGTTATATTTGAATATTTTTATCTTTTGATTTATTTAACAACAGTACAAAACAAACACTGAATTTTATTTGCTAAATTTTAAGTGTAGTGATCGTTCGCTTTCACTATGCATTTTATAGTAATTATGTAAGGCTTGTATTGAAAACTCACTATGTTTAAATGAAAATCAACAAAAGATTAATCAATTCTTTTTGTTGGGACAGTGATTTACTTCATTTCCTCCTTTGTCGTACCCTTGAAAACAATTTATAAATGGCGAATAAATAACGTACATATTTTTTTGTAATAATTTTAAAGCTTTCAACGCAGAGAACCACCTTAGAAACATAACTTAAAAAGAAATATTTGTGCTACTTTAACATTATTTTATGTCCTCTGATAATTTTTGCTTGAGTTTATTCTATTACTCATATAAAATATTCAACAAAATTATAATGAATCTTCTAAACCGTTTAAAGCGCTTTTTGAGAGACCTTTCAGAAAACCCCGAGTCACATGATTAATTAATGCTGGTTTAGCAAATAAATTATGAAATATGATAGAGGAGACATTAATCAGTATTATTAAACACACTAAACTGGAATTCATCATGGCGGAAAAATAGCCTTATCGAAACCTCCCCTTTGTCTGTTAACGTTGTCTGACAATAATATTGTCATTGCATTTATAGCCTTTTTACAATTTCAACCTCATTTCAAGAGTATCCTTTTGGTAGAGGGTATTCATTTTTATTTTCAATTGATAACAAATTATAAATTAGAGGAAAACCATGTTAAAATATCTTTACAAAACCAATTGATCAAAACTTTATAAAACTTAATTAGAAACATCCTCAGGTAGTGTAGAATCAATTTTATTCAAAATATTACTCCCGGGGTTAGGAAGAGGCTACATTTGATGATATTTTTTATAAAGGAGTTCATATGAAATTATTTAATATTTTTTAATCAAGAACAACAATGCCATGATTAATCAAATTTTATCTTTATGCAGTTCTAGTTGTTCAAATCACGACTTTTGAAAGTACCGGTAGCTAGGGAGGGGATACAATTGGGGGTCAAAGTTTTGCATTATGATATAGAGAACAAGAGGCCCAGGGGCCACATCGCTCACCTGAGCAATTGGCTATGGAAAAAACACATATCAGATCAGAATTGAAAGCCTACTAAGGTTGGTGGGGGGGGGGGCTTGAATTTTAACCCCCAGGGGGTCATGATTTGAACAAACTAAAATCTATACTACCTGAGGTTGATTCCCTACATTGTATAAATATCACTAAGCATGGCTTTGAAGTACTTGAAAAGAAGATTTTAGAAGGTTTCCCTATATATTCCTATATAAAACTTTTATCGGCCATTTGGCCCCACCCTTTCCCTGGGGGTCATGATTTGAACAAACTTGAATCTACACTACCTGAGGATGATTCCACATGAGTTTCATCTTTCCTGGCCCAGTGGTTCTTGAGAAGAAGATTGTTATAGATTTTTCTTATATATTCCTATGTAAAACTTTGATCGGCCATTTTGGCCCCACCCTACCCCCGGGGGTCATGATTTGAATAAACCTGAATCTACACTACCTGAGGATGATTCCACATGAGTTTCATCTTTCCTGGCCCAGTGGTTCTTGAGAAGAAGATTTTTAAAGATTTTTCCTATACATTCATATGTAAAACGTTGATCGGCCATTTTGGCCCCACCCTACCCCCGGGGGTCATGATTTGAACAAATTTGAATCTACACTACCTGAGAATGATTCCACATGAGTTTCATCTTTCCTGGCCCTTGGAAAAGGGAGTGGCCCTTCATTTGAACAAACTTGAATCCCCTTTACCCAAGGATACTTTGTAGCAAGTTTGATTGAATTTGGCCCAGTGGTTCTTGAGAAGAAGATCAAAATGTGAAAAGTTTACAACAACAACGACGACGACAACGACGACAGACAACGGACAAATTTTGATCAGAAAAGCTCACTTGAGCCTTTGGCTCAGGTGAGCTAAAAAGTATATAATAATCTTTTTAAGAACAGAAACACTTGATCAGATACATGTATATTTATATTGAAGCATTCTCAGTAATTGTAGATTTGAGTTTGTTCAAATCATGACTCTTGGGGAAGAGAGAGGCCACAACATGCGATCGACGTACATTTGTCTTACATATTCCAAGGAATTGATAGGGGAAATCATTCAAGATCTTTTTAAGAAGAACAAAGCCGTAATCAGTCACATTAATTAAGAAATATTCATAGGTATTGTAGATTCAAGAGTGTTCAAATCATTCTCCCTTCCCCAGTTTTCTATATTAACTTTTCAAACTTCGACTGATTGTATGTCCCTACACTCAGCGTTTAGGTGGGTGATATGGTATTTACAACACGAAGATTGATTGATTGATTGTATACTGTTTAACGTCCCTCTCCAGAATATTTCATTGATATGGAGACGTCACCATTGCCGGTGAAGGGCTGCAAATTTAGGCCTATGCTCGGCACTTACGGCCTTTGAGCAGGGTGGGATCTTGATCGTGCCACACCTGCTGTGACAAGGGGCCTCGGTTTATACGGTCTCATCCGAAGGACCGCCCCATTTAGTCGCCTTCTACGACAAGCAAGGGGGTACTGAGGACCTATTCTAACCCGGATCCCCACGGGGCTACAACACGAAGAAAATGAGAAAATGAGAAGAATATAACTGAATAATCAATATGATTTAAACAACCTTTCCCTCAATATCTATATATATTTATGCTATGGAGAGAATTTGACTTTTACCTGTGAGGATGAGAAGTCCCTATACGTGTTGTCCCATTTGTACCAATGATCATTAAACTTGTGCCACATGTTGCAATCTGAAACAAAAATCATTGGATTTTATAATGCTACAAGTATGTCAAGATGACGAATTACAGATGTATATATGTTGTGTTTTTTTGTGTACCTTTACTACTATTTTATCTCAGATGTTTAACTATAGCCAGAGACATATAAAACCATATGTCTCTGCTATAGCGTGTTACAACCATCAATGGAGTAAGCAAATTTGCATAAGGAAAAATGTTAGGTGCATCTCCCTCATATACTTCTAGGAATACAGTGATAATTTTTATTGAAATGTACGTGATGAAATAAGTTCGATGTCCAGATGTAGACTTAATACAAAGTATTACACTTGTAATAATGAGCCGTACAAATTAAAGAGAATATTGAAATAAGTCTTGTTTCTGGAACCATAAAGTAGTGTTCATTTGTACTACGAGTATTTAAATTTTTCATACTTAGTTAACTCCGATTTAATGTAAGAAGAAGGAGAAATGCTCTGCATATTGATTTTTGAATTTTGTCAACATTCAATCCCACAGACGTTTTTTACAAGTCCTATTTTTAAAACCATTTTAAATTAAGTATAAAAACTTTGTCCAGTAAGATTGCTGTAAAAAAATATTTGTTGTGAAACATCACTGGTTTTGGAATTTTTTGGAAGAACAAATGATATGATATTAATTCAAAAAAGAATACCTCAAAAACACCACTTATGAAAACCTTACAGTTTTAATTTTAAGAAAGATTTGTTTTTGTTTCATAGCAATATTGGGTACAATAAATTGCACGAAATGCTTAATAAAAATAAACAATACGAAGCCGTTTTCGCTGCATTTCATTTCCGGAAATATGCATAGCATTTCCGACATTTTTTTTATTTCATTTCAGACATTTTTTGTTTTTATCTCCGACATAATTTTCTTTTCATTTCCGGAATTTACCTGTGCGGCAATTCAATGTTTTCTATGTAAAAGAAAATGGAATTTTAAAAGTATTTATAGGAAAATATTAATGTACACTAAATTAAAAGTCAGTGACAGCACCATACTTATGTCCAAGTCACTGATAGATTAATAAAAAATTGGATTTCAATGATTTATTTATGATTGAATCCTTTTTATTTTTCATGCGTAAAGTTATCAAATCTGTTAATATAGGTACTACATCTGTATTTGAAAAATGTCGGAAATGAAAACAAAAAAAATGTCAGAAATGAAAACTAAGAAATGTCAGAAATGAAAAGTTGATAATTACCAAAAATTCCGGAAATGAAATGCAACCGCCGTTTTGCATAAAATTGTACGTACCAAAGAGTGCTGTTGTTAAAGCTTCAGAACTAATTGTAGTCAAATCATGACTTGCTTGTTTGCCTGAAATTAAATCAGGATTGTTGTAATTTCAAAGCAAAAATGACATTACGGGAATTAGCAAAATTAATAAATAACATTATAACATATATTGTAACGCCACCAATTATAATTATTATAAGTGATACATGAGGTACAGTATATAAATTAGTCGTCATAATTGTGAGAAAAATAATAAATATAATACGAAAGCATAAATGAGGGGCATATACATATGTACAAAGTATAGCAATAGACATACAATGAAAGAAGAAAAGAAAAAAAAAATGATATGGTAACATTTAAATCATTGAGGACAGACGGTGTCGTTTATTTTAGATATAAATATACATTTTTTTTTTAATATTTTAAATTTGTCGTTGACATAATTTCAGAAAACTTAAGTGTATTTGAAGTTTTACAAAATCTGGGATGTAAAAGATTCTTTCTGATACTGTTCAATGTTTTACATTCTAAGATGAAATGAAATTCGTCTGCTATTTGCCCTGTATTACACAATTTACAAACTCTTTCATCCAATGGAATATTTGAACATCAAAATGAAATACCGATGACCAAAATAATTTTAATCACACTTATTTTGATGTTATTTTCTATTTTTTTAAAAATTAAAATCACATTGACCTAGAATATCATGTAGATACATGTACATGTATTTAAAACGCCAGTTAAAGAATATTATATATTTAACTTAAGTACCGCTTGATCATTTTAAGAAATTGATAATTATGTATGAACTTCAAATGTTTTTCCTTCAAAAATTACGAAAAATCTTTCAAATTATTTGACAATTTCAATTAGTATTCCGCAATTCCTTTCCCTTTCTCCTAAATCAGTGATATATTCTACCATTTAGGATTAACATATTTACATGTATATTTCACGTACCTGTTTTTCTAAGGTAATATCGCCAGCCTTTTGTACTTTGTGGTCCAATATCTGAAACAGAGTCCAGTTGAACCAGCATTAATTGACAGAATTGTGTTTTAGAGTTAAACAATATAGATTTACACTCAGGGGCCCTCGTGCAATAAGATGCACATTGCCGAGAACTTCTGTATTTTTGTGTTGATATTATATTTGTTGAGGATGTAGATCTGTCATCGTATATAAGATTTCTCGACATAAAGTCGGTAAGTATGTCTCCATGTGCAAAAGTTAGTGTTGTAATTAAAAAGAATAAGACCCAATCCATTTTTGAAATGTGAATATGAATGAAAACTGATTTTGAGTATAAAGATTTTGAAGATGAGCACTTTTAATGGCAGAGTAACATAACATGTTTGTAAATCGTAATTCTATTGGTTGCCTCATATAAAGGAGGTAGTTCCACTTCCTAGAACATATGCAAACACTTCACGTGAGAGCAAACAGGTAAATCTCAGACTGAGAGAGCTATAAGTGAACCCTTTAATGTAGTTTTCAAAAGGTGTTTTTAGTTTGAGATTAAAATAACAAGATAAAAGTACTTTAAATGTATATGAAAGTAATGATGCATTTATAGAGAGCAAAACATCACAGAAATAAAGTTAGATATTGATTCATCTAAACAAATCACCAAAGGTTAGAATATGTTAGCTGAGAAATATTTTACCATCTATGAAAATTGTTCACACTTGCCAGCGATATGCATTTAAATATTTTATCTATTATAAAAATCGTTGACACGTGTCAGGGATATACATTTAAGTGTTAAATTATTAGAATTCACTACCTGTTAAAGTCATATTACTTGAAAACTTGTCCAAATTATTTTCTAAGAATGAAAATATCATAACGTTGACACCGTGCCAGTGATATATATGTTAAATACATGATAAATGTTAATTATAAACTCAGTGATAAATCTTAAATATAATGACCATCCGAAATGCTGGTTTTAAACAAGGTTATTGAATTCTTGGTAATAATAACTTAAATGCCATGTCGCGTTTGGGTTTAAAAATCATACTCAGGACATACTCTGAATATCGAATAAATTGGGAGATGTGAGCACCATATGCAGGTGAAAGCATGCAACTAATTACTGCGGACGATAGAACATCATCTCGTTTGTCATACAACTGGAATTCTTCTTTGACAACATTTATGTATTTTTTCGGAAACAAAGTCTTCCAACAAACTGTTGGAATTCTGCGTTATGGACATTCATTGTTCACCTTAAGTTGTTAGCCTACCTGTATATATACATTATAAAAGCAGAATTTATTCAAAAGATTCTAGACGAGAAAAAAAAAAACATTTGCAGTGACCATCAACTCGACTTTCAGATAAAACAACGACGTTTTGGCATTTGACAATAGTTATTTTAAAACAAATATTTCTTTTCAAATGTTGACTCGATTAGCCCAATGAACTTTAAATAAAAAACACCAAAGATTCTACCAAATGGTTTCATATTTGGATGTTTTACTGATTACATATGTATAGAATAAAGTCTAATTTAAAAACAACTTAACCGTATGAAAAACGAAAAGACTCCAGCAATTTCGTCGTTAAATCCCCTTATATATATAGTAAAAGTCAGCTATCACCTGCACAATTATATCGTTAATGTCCCTCGACTTATTTGCCAGAGCATGCTCTGAAAACAACCAGTTTTTAAACCAAGGCAGGCTACTCACTCGTAAGTTGATGTTACAGGTACTAGTATTTCAACAAACTTATTTAAAATCAACATTTTGCAAACTCTTGTGTTCTGTATAATGACCTTGTCAGCAAATATAACCTACCATTGGTAAATATTTTGGCTGACTTTTTTCAAACCAACTGTTTGATATTGGTTTTTATACTGAATTTGAATAAATGAATATTCAGTCTTATTGATCAATAATAAGGGCCATGGCGGAATGAACCGGGCAACAGAGGCCTACTCCTTCTAGGTACCTGGCCCACATCTGAAATTTCCAAAGATCGTTATCTGTGTTCTGTTCACAGAAAGACTTTTTAATGAGATCGCTGTTCGTTATTTTCTTATCACGACAAGCAGTACATCGCGGATTGACCGGTCGATAGGGGATGCTTACTCCTTCATTGCACTAGATCCCTCCTCTGATGTTTAAGAGTTTCGTTTTTTTTTTTTCTGTTCCTAATTTGTATCAGAGTTGGCCGGGAAATACTAGTGGTGGGAATTACCAGTGATAAATATAGGTATTTCTTAATTTTCTCTTAACTGGGAAATACTGGGTAATCAAAAAAATAAGATTTTATTTCTTCATTAATTTTATTTTGTAAGATATTAAAAAATGAAATGAACATAGAAACAGAAGATTAATAAAAATAAGTTGCAATATTCCATATCTAAAGTGTATTACCACTCTAGATCCCCTACCCATTAGCATTTTTTGGTAGAATATGTTTCCCTGTTTGTATTTTTTAAAAGAACAAAAAGATTTTCTGATTCAAGTCTCTTTTCAGTCTAGTAAAATTATTAGATTTATATATTAATTATAAACCAAAGCCCATAATAATCTGGTTTTAATCCTTCTACAAACAATCATGTTGTTTTACTAACTGACGCTGGACAGTTTTGTGTCTTTGATTTGAGAGATAATTACCATCAGTAGAATTGAAAGGTTCCTTCTTTTATGTTTGATTTTTACCCTATATTCTACACTTTACAATTTTCTTAGACCTATACTGAGTATGAGTATGTCTCTCTTTGTTTGACAACCCTGATTTGTACAGTTGAATGAACTTTTAGGAATGATTACTTTTTGTTATATCTTTATTTGATCATAAATTGCACTGATGGTGAGTAATAAAAATTGAGGCTGGTATTAAATTTTATGTTTTAAGGTCCTATTGATTACTGACTTTGCAATTTTTCACAATCATTTATCGGATCATAAAAAAAATCTGTGCTTTAAAACATATTTTTAAAGGGTTTTTCTTAATAGCTTTTTAATCAATGTTGTGTCTCTTATATGGATATTAATTGCGTTGGACAGATATAATACCTCGACGTTTTTCTGTCATGCAGTCCCTTTGAAAAGAAAACAAACATAAAATGTAAATAGCCTCTATTAATTAAATAATAATGCTGTTTTAAACATTATTAGGAACACATCAAGTAACAAAATAATAGAGAGCTATTTCAAAAACTGAGGTAAAATTTAATGGCATTCTCTTAAGTAATGATTTGGAATACTTTATATGTCGATTCATTTCATGTTGTTTTTCAATAAATAATTTTTTTTTAATTTTTTATTTCTCTTTTTTTAACTTAACACTTGCGACTTGACAAATTGTCAATAAAATATGTTAATTTTAAACAAAACTATGTAGATAAAATTTATACAGAAAACATTGTATCTTTTAAACAAACATGTACTATGTTCTGGTGTTCAAGACTTGTAGAATTGTTTGATGTTGAAAAAAAGAATGGAGGCATGTCCAATCGCTAAAGACTAAATTTTTATGGATATTTGAAATTACCTGAAGCAATATACCGGCCTTCATCACTGCACACGGGGTTTATAGATGTAAACCAACTTTTATTCACCTCGTCATCGCGAATATTTCTCGCCGCGAACGGTCCTTAAAGTCTTTATTAACAACAGATCCAAAAAGGCTTGATCGTGAAAATTAGTCGTCGCAAACTAGTTAACCTCCTTGTAGATCGAGAAATAAAGTCGTCGCAAATAAAAGTTGGTAAACAGTACTTTATTTTTTACCGAAATTCACTGCGGAATATTCACCTAATTAATACACAGGGCTCACGGTGAATGTGGCCGGTTAACAGGGGATGTATATTCGTCCTAAATACCTTCTCCCACATAGGGAATTGCCAGGGGTCCGCATTTTATTCCATCTAAACAGATTTGTATTAATTGCATTTTTCAGATCGATCAAGGTTTGTTATTTTTACATTTCATTACCAATCGTCCATACATACAAACATCAACTCTACTTTACTCAAAGATTTTAGAATAAGGAGTTGATTCCTACGCCGCTGGTACGAATCCCACTGTGAGACGTGGAGACATCCTGCGGACGAGACCGCGTATAAAACGAGGTCAAGTGTGGCAGTAGGTGCTGGCACGAAAATGATTACTCACTGCTCAATGAGTACCAAATATAGGTCAAAATTTGCTGCTCTCCGCCGTCAAATACTGGTGTTTCCACATGTGCAAAACATTATCGAGAGGGACGTTAAACAACATATAAACAATCAAAATGACAATATCCTTTTGTTTCTATTGAAAGTTATGGAGATATCGAACAGTATTCAGGATCAAAGGTCCATTAAAAAAATACAAAATAGGAGCAAAGCAAATACGAACCTCAAAAAAAAAAACATCAGAAGTAGGAGCAGATGTCATGGAGGAGTGAGCATCCCCTGCCCACCGATCACATCCACAGTTTGCTCCTTGTCATGATCGGGAAATGAAAGAAAAATCCTGACAACTCAATGTGTAAATAATGGCCTAACATTAGGTAAGAAAAAAGTCAGTCAGCACTTGACTAAATTTTAAATTGTATTTGCTCACGAGGTCATTGTATCGACCATAGAACTTACGAAATGATGTTCTTGCATCATCAACTTTTTTGCCACTTACTTTGTTTTAGAAATTGTTCATTCGTAGAACATGCTCTTCCGTATTGAATCAGCTGAGATATAAACTCTGTATGCAGTTGACAAAGGTATATTGTCGCATAAGTAAGGGAAGTTGATGAATAAAAAGTTTAAAGTCATCACGTTTATCATGAAGCTTTGTTGTTAGTTACTAGTAACTATTAATGTCTTTTTCTAGTAAAAGATTCAAATAAGAAACATATGTTTCACACTGTGGTATCTTTTTTCAAGCTCACAGGGATATACCGTGTCGACATAAGAATGAAAATAACTATCGTTAATTGACAATACGTCGTCGATATATCTAAATGTTGAGATAAAGGCGACAGCAAATTTGTCTTTTTTTCATGTAAAACTTTATAAGTCGTAAGTTATTACATGAATGTTGTAAATTTTGGTAAGATTTTGTGATTTTGCAAGTGTGGGCGTAATATAACTAAAAATTGACTTTGTAAAATTTACAATGACGTCATCTCGCTCGCCAATTTTGTTATTAGTTTTCCATTATCGTCTATAGTCAGTAAAATATCCATGTATGAAACCTATATTGGAAATTCTGTGGCGTCCTTTATTTCAAGTCAACTTGGATATGTATCAATATGACAAATAATTATTTTTAATTGAGATATCTGAATTCTAAAAGTTAGGTATATTTACCTACGGTAAATAAGCCTTTCTTAATTAATTTAACTGTTTATCATGTAGAAAAAAAAAATCAGCAATTACTTCAAATATTTGTGAATGATTACAAACTCCTAATTTTTGTTTTGTTTTCTTCCTCTCTTTGTTTTTTTCTTTTTTTGAAAATTTAATTAAAAGAAAACTTTTACCTGCATAACATTTTTTTTCTTTTCTTTATGAAAAGATTTTACGATATGGCTTATTTTTATAAGGATACGCACAGCATGTTCCCTTTATAAATTTTAAAGCTCTATCATACACTCATGAGTATAATTTATATATATCACAGGTATGAAAAGGGTTGAGCTGTCGGGGACAATGTCACGGTGGGAGAGAATGGGGAAGTCAATTCAAGGAAAAGTAGTCCTAATAATACTGAAGAAAAAAAGAGATGGATTGTGAGGTTTAATTCTTTATTCACTAGAATATATTTTTATATTTCAGAAACAGACAAGAGACAATCAATAATACGTGTAGATTCAACCAATCAAAGTTCAAAATTCAACATCACCTGAAATACATATATGTCTTTTTTTAAATCCTATAATTTATCTAAAAAGAATAACTAATATATAAAAGATACTGGTAATCAGAATTATCCCAAAGCACTGTGAATCATCCCAGCCCTTGTTTTTCACAATGTAGTAATAATCTAAAATGATCTTACAAATCTAGAAAATCAATAAGTCTTACTTTACACAATTTGAAATATTCATACACATACCTGTCTATTCCTTAACGACTTATAAGAATAGGACAGACAGTTAGAAAGAGTAATAAAATTATGTGAAAATATATTTATGTAACAACTGATTTCTAAATGAAAATGTCTAGTAAATTACAGTGCAAATCGAACGAATAAATATATTATAAATTGTTTTAAACTCCTTTCAGATTCCCGATAATCGGCAACATTTAAGAGAAAAAAATAATGAAAAATGGCGAACAATAATTTCTTAATTTAAAATACCGATAATTTTTAAGCAGTTTGCAAGCTAAAAAAACCCAAAACAAATAAAGATAATTATTTTTATGATTTTAAATTTTTTAATTTTTTTTTAATTATTGATAATCTTCTTTTATTTAATAATTTAAACTATAGTCATCTTTGGTTTAACTATTAGAGTCAACTAACACTGAACACTCAATATCTCCTTACACTTCAGTAACACTCAGCAGTTAACATGCACTCAATATTTCCTTACTCTTTAATAAAATTAGCTTCCTAATAATATATATGTGCAGGCATATATTAGAGTAAAAGTTAACTCTAGGCAATTCCATGTTTTAAATATTTTATCACATTGATGCTCTTTCCACCCAATTCACAGACGTAAAGCAGGTTGTTTTCGTCTACATGTATTCCAGTTGGCCCTCGTATGTTGTCATAGGTAAGAAATTTAAGAAAATGGCCATTTTCGTCCAATATATGAAGTCGATGATACCAATAATCAGCAATTATAATGCTGTTGAAAGAATCAGTTCCCAAACCTCTTGGGTCAAATTTCTTATCTTCGTCATTTTGCTCCTTGTGTCCTTCATATTCAAACTTTTTCGATCCCGATCGGTTGACAACAATGACACTTTTCTTCTTCCAATCCGTGACGCAAATATCCTCGAGGTGGTTCTCAGTAACGTACATTGGGCATGCGTAGAGAGGTTTGTGGTGACAAACATCAATTTCTTTCTTTACTTTTCCATTATTGCTATATTTTACGACCTTTCCATGTGATTTTTCTCCTCGTTGTCCGTTCCAAAGACAGACAATTATATCTCCCAATTTTGTGCAATGTATTCCCCTTGGAATCCACTCACCTGTATTAAAAATTGCTTCAGCTTTCAAATTGTATTTGTTGTCTGCTGCCCTATCCCCATCCACTTTTCCTCCAGTTTTGGGTGTCTTTATCTCCTCGTCAACCTCCATCTTTTCCTGTTGCTTTTCCTTTGTTTTGCTTTTGTTTTGCTTCTTTGAACCTTTGCTATCTTTTCCAGATGTGGTAGTCTTCGTCGCACCACCAGATTTCTTATTTGCTTCACGATCTGGAACCATTTCAACATCTTTCTTGTCCCCAACGTTTGTAAATGGTGGATATGGAGCCTTGAATACTTTATTTTCATCTAATGCTGTAAACAAGATGCCACCTTTCGTCTCACTGAGGTATTGTGGAAATTCAGCAGACGACAGTGTAAAAACTTTGGTACTGTCCGTAGTGTCATAAACGTTGATCTCTTTCTTTAAATATGAGCAGACGCCCACCGTATCTTTCCGAAGAACACACACGTCTAGCAGGCCATCCTGACAAGATACTATATCTTTCGGTGCAATGGGATTACTCTCGAAATCGAGGAGCTTCAGACTTCCATGGTGTTTATGGGTTTCATGGTGTTCGTGAGAATTAGAATCATGGTTAACATGATGGTGGAAGAAATTACTAAGCTTCTCCATTCTTCAAATCTACAAGTAAACATCGCATCATAAATCAGTCCTACATGCTTGTTGAAGTTTACATGCAGTTCGATTATTAAAATTCACTTGGAAACAAATCTAAAACAAGAGGCCCATGGGCCACATCGCTCACCTGAGAATCTTTTGTCATATTATTTGTTCTTTACCAGATTTCCCCCCTGTAATACATATTGTGGCCCTGCCCTACCCCCTGGGGTCATGATTTACTACCCCAGGGTGCATCCACATCAGTTTCAGCTTTTCTGGCCCAGTGGTTCTTGAGAAGAAGATTTTCAAAGATTTTTCCTATATATTTCTATGTAAAACATTGATGCCCCATTGTGGCCCCGCCCTACCCCCCGGGGTCATGATTTGAACAATTTAGAATCTACACTACCCCAGGGTGCTTCCACATAAGTTTCAGCTTTTCTGGCCCAGTGGTTCTTGAGAAGAAGATTTTCAAAGATTTTTCCTATATATTTCTATGTAAAACTTTGATTCCCCATTGTGGCCCCACCCAACCCCCGGGGATCATGATTTGAATAATTTAGAATCTACACTACCCAACAATGCTTCCGCATGAGTTTCAGCTTTTCTGGCCCAGTGATTCTTGAAAAGAAGATTTTCAAAGATTTTTCCTATATATTTCTATGTAAAACTTTTATTCCCCATTGTGGCCCCGCCCTACCCTCGGGGGTCATGATTTGAACAATTTAGAATCTACACTACCCCACAATGCTTCCACATGAGTTTCAGCTTTTCTGGCCCAGTGGTTCTTGAGAAGAAGATTTTCAAAAATTTTTCCTATATATTTCTATGTAAAACTTTGATTCCCAATTGTGGCCCCGCCCTACCCCCGGGGGTCATGATTTGAACAATTTAGAATCTACACTTCCCCAGGGTGCTTCCACATCAGTTTCAGCTTTTCTGGCCCAGTGGTTCTTGAGAAGAAGATTTTTAAAGATTTTTCCTATATATTTCTATGTAAAACTTTGATTCCCCATTGTGGCCCCGCCCAACCCCCTGGGGTTATGATTTGAACAATTTAAAATCTACACTATTCCAGGGTGCCTCCACATAAGTTTCAGCCTTATTGGCCCAGTGGTTCTTGAGAAGAAGATTTTTTAATGACCCCACCCTATTTTTGTCTTTTCTTGATTATCTCCCCTTGTAAGGGGACTTGTCCCTTCATTTTAACAATTTAAATTCCCCTTCACCCAAGGATGCTTTGTACCAAGTTTAGTCAAAATTGGCCCAGTGGTTCTTGAGAAGAAGTCGAAAATGTGAAAAGTTTACAGACGGACGGACAGACAGACAGACAGACGGACAGACGGACGGACGACGGACAAAATGTGATCAGAAAAGCTCACTTGAGCCTTCGGCTCAGGTGAGCTAACAATTATACGAAATATTTAAACGTTAGTGGAACTGTATATTTCTACAACAGAACTCAAAGTCGAAAGTCGAGTTTGCCTCGTTTCTTTTCTACAATGTGGAAATAATGCAGGAACAAAACGTACGTGTGCTTTGCAACATAGCACCCGCCTATCAAAAAGTAATTTTTCAAATTCAAAGTCTCTGAGTAGAATAACCAGTGTGCAATAAAGTAGGTTTCAAAAAATGATGCCGATATTCGCTTATAAGTGAGGAAACTCGCACTAAATTTTGAGGAGGAAAAGCATTTGCAAGTTTTATTTATTAAGTTTGAAAACAATAAAATTTGGAAGAGCTCGTTTTGTAGCCTAAGCAAAGAATAAGAAGCCAATCGTGATTTCTCTTATCTGCATGAAGACAAAGCTTCTACATGCATGTACATGTAGCTACTAAGAAAGATACCGATCTGTTCAAAAATTTTCAACCTAATCACTCGCCCATTAAAAGTGGTAGAGGTCATATGAAGCTCAGGAGTAAGTCTGATAGTGTACATCTCACATTGCTGTAAAGTTGGGTTAAGGGAATGTCATCTTGTAAATTTTGAATTTACCATGTGAATACAAAATTTACAATTACTACCACCCGGTAAATTCAAAATTTACAACATGACAGAAGAACGTAAGGTAATTGTTCATTATTCACAACTTCCAAACTCACGAAACTGGTCACTCATCCAGAAAATATAGAGCAGATTCAGCATAAAAGCGAGTTTGGTGATGTTTCCATGCAAGAATAGTTGATGGAGTACTTTGGATTGAAACTGTGTCTTAAACTTTTAGCTTGACGTCGTTGGACTTCACTAATGACAGTATTTAAAAAGTACATTGTATATGTACTTAGTATCCCACTTTCCTTCGCCGATAACGTCCCGTCATACATATTTCAATGCGCTTTCATTTTCCCTGGTGCATTTTCAACAGTGTACGAGACTGACGTGACGTTAAAATGACGTAGTGATGCTGTTCCAGGTCGAAAAACATATGCCTGTTTATTATTTCACCGGAACTTATCTAATTATCCTATATTAAAGGTAGAAATTTTACATAATTATTTTATTCGTTCTTTATAAACTGTTGACGATGTTCCTGAATTTATGTCTGTCCTTTATAAAGTAAAAGTAAATGTCTCAATAATTTCCTAACAGCCCTCGTATTTAAGTGGTTTTCATGGATAAGTAGAAAAAAAGAAAAGTTTTTAGGCTTTAGAAATAATAATATTAAAACCGAAAAGAATTTCAAAACCTAACACATAGGCCTTAAAAAAGAAAGAGGTTAGTGCAAGTATGAAAGCAAATTCATCTTAAAGGATAGGCAAATTCAGGGTAGGATCCTTTCACAAAAAATAAAGAGAATGAATTATGAGTGACAATGTTTTGGCTTGATGAATATTGAAAAAAATGACCATGATGGTCCAACTGTTCAACCGCCACTATTTTCAGATTTTTAAGAAATATAGTGGACATTGGAGGTACATTCTGTATCCACTCGTAAACGGCGCTGAGTTTACTCGTGGACGTTGGGTACGTTCTGAATCTATACGTCCGAAGTCCAATCATGTACGTCATGTACTTATGGACGTCGCGGTACGTCTTGAGTGTACTAGTGGACGTCTGGTTATGTCATGTCTACTTGTGTTGAACCTTGGTCTACTTGTGGACGTCGGGTTTCTTTCGTGCTAAGTCCATTCGTGGACGTCTGGGTAAGTTATTCCACTCGTAGACCGTCTATAATCCAGTTGTAGTACGTCCTTAGTATATTTGTGATGTTGGGGTACCTCCTTGGTCTACTCCCGAAAGTCGGCGTACGTCCTTCGCCCATTCATGGATGTGGGGTATGCCCCGAGTCCAATCGCGTACGTCGATGTACATGTATGTCATGATTCTACTCGTGGACGTCGGGATTCTTCTCGAGTCTACTTGTGGACGTTGGGGTTCGTCCCGAGTCTACTCGTGTACGTCGGGGTTCGTCCTGCGTCTACTCGTGGACGTCAGGGCACGTTTTGGATCCACTTGTGGACGTGAAGGTACATTCTAGGGCGTCAGGGTATGTCTAAGGACGATACTCAGGTAAGCTTGGACTTTTAGTGAGGCGTGGCATTCTCGATGTTTCATAATTAGCATCTGAAATTTACACAGCTTTTAATCACTGTTGAAATATACATGTGATAGAAATTCGGGCAAATGCCAATTAGTATATCGAATAACCTATAACATTGTCTCGTCTGGCAAAGAGGTGGAGCTTAAGGAGGCTCATTACACCACTTTTTGATGACGTACTACACAAAAAAATAAACCTCCATTGTGTCGACCGGTTTGCTCAGGGGACGAGTTGTATAAGGTAACTCTATAATATGACCCTGACCTTTAAAACGCTTTAAAAATAGATGAAACATGCGGTGTTGTAAACAGAAAACAAAATAACGGATTCATTATGCATAAACCAAGAAGGATTGCTTTTAGGCAGAAACAAAAGAAAGCAACAGACAAATCTTCGCCAAACAAGTAATGTCAATTTCATAGCCATGCATGCAGTGAACTCTATCAATCACTGACATGTATGTATGGAGGAAATTCGAGTTAAAATCTACCACCTTGTTGAAATTAAAATTTTATTTAATTGCGCTATTTACTGTGTTGGTGTTAATTTATATATTTGTTTTATTGATTTAAATGTATACTCTGGCAATTTAAAGCTTTATTCTGAATTTTAGATGTAATGTCAAACGTTCCATAGTGTTTTGAGTCTTGGCTAATTAGGAAAGATAACTCTTGAAAGTGGACTTTTTATACCAAATGTTTTTTAAATTGGATTTTTCATTTCGTTTAAACTTTCTTCATTCAATTTGACACATGTAATTCATTGAAATACATTCGTTGTCTCTTCAGAGCACATTTTTAAAATGTTTTATGCATAGATTAAAAAGATGATGACATTAATTGTTTTCTAGGAGAAAATTATTTTTTCTAATAAAATTATTATTTGGTATTATGAGGTATTTTCACTATGTGTACTTGTCTTAAGAAGATGCCCATCATTTGGCATTGAAAGTTCTGAAATTCTGTGAATAATAAACCTGAAATAAAACATTTCACTAAAATAAAACAAAAACTAAAAAATTCTATAAAAAATATTTATGATATCAATACCCCCATCTGGATATTTGACATCTACATTATAAGTTGTGCTGTATTGAAATCTAAAATAAACTGTGGATGTAATGAGCCACCTTAAGTCGTCTCATGGTTGTCAATAACAATTTTAAAGTTCCTGATGTTATTAATTTCTTAACCAATGAGAATCTATTCGCCATTTGGCAGACGCTATAATTACGTAGCGCCGAGAATGCCACGCCTTACTGGAAGTCCAGGCTTACCTAAGAATGGTTCTAAATCTTATCATTGACAGAAAGGGTACATCCTGTGTCCACACACGGATGTCGTGGTACGTCATGTGTCTTCTCATGGAACGTCCTGAGTCTACTCGTGGGTGTAGGGGTATGTCCTAAATTCAATCGTGGATGTCAGGGCATTCCTGAGCCTACTCGTGGACGTCGGGTTACGCCCTTATTCCATCCATGGACGTCGGGGTATATCCTAGGTCCAATTGTGGACGTCCGGGTAAGTTCTAAGTTTCCTCGTGGACACTGGGGTGTGTCCTGGATCTACTCCTGGTAAGTCCTGAGTCTTCTCGTGGACATCGGGGCAAATCTGGTGCATCTATGGACGTCAAGAAACCCCCTAAGTCCATTTGTGGACATCCAGTTACGTTCTTAGTCCATTCGTGGACGTTGTGCTACGTCTTAAATCAACTCATGAACGTCAGCGTACGTTCTCAAGGTAGTTGTATTACGTCCTGAGTCTACTCCTGGAAGTTGGGGTATATCCCTAAACTAGCCCATGCGTAGATGCGGGACTCACAATGAGACTAATCGTGAACGCCGCGGTTCGTCCCAGATCTCCTCGTGGACGTCGGGGAATGTCCTGAGTGTCCTCGTGGTACGTCTCGAGTCTACTTGTGGACGTCAAGGAACGTCTTTGGTCCATTTGTGGACGTCGGGGTACGTCCTGAGTCTACTTGTTGGCGTCCGGGTACGTTCGTGGGCGTCAGGGTACGTCCTGAGTCTACATGTGCACGTTGAAGCATGTCCTGAGTCTACCCGTGGATATCAGGGTACATCCTGCGTCCATTCGTCGGGATTCGTCATGTGTCTACTCTTCGAATGTCCTAAGTATAATCGTGGACGTAAGGGGTACGTCCTAAGTCCAATCTCGGAAGTCACTGTACCTCCTGAGTTAATTCGTGGACGTCGGGTTAGGTCGTCGGGATGCAACTTGAGTCTCCTCTTGAACGTCAGGGTACGTCCTGGGTCGACTCATGGTACGTCCTGAATCTAATTGTGTACGTCAGAGCAAGTCTTGGGTCTTTTGGTGGACATCGGGGTACGTCCTGAATCTGGATGTCAGGGCAAGTCTTGGTTGCACTGGTTGAGTCTGTAAGTAGACGTGCGTCAGGTTAAGTCCTTTGCCCATTCGTGGACGTCGCGTTATGTCCTAAGTCCACTCGTAAACGTCGGGCTATGTCCTGAGTCTACACTTGGTACATTCTGAGTCTACTCATGGACTTCGGGTTACGTCCTTAGTCCATTTGTGGACGTCGGGGTATGTCCCAAGTCCACTCGTGGACGTCAGGGTACGTCCTGAGTCTCCTCGTTGGTGTCGGGGTAAGTCTAAGTTGCATTGTTGGACGTCGGGGTATGTTCTGGGTGTTTAGCCCATTTGTGGACGTCGGGTTATGCCCTAAGTTCACTCGTAGACGTCGGTGTACACCCTTGCTATATTCGTGGTACGTCCTGAGTCTATTCATGGACGTCAGGGCAAGTCTGTGGTCTATTGGTTGATGTCGGGGTACGTCCTGAGTCTACTCGTTGATGTCTGTATTGCTTTCTTCTTCCCTTTATTCTCTTTTAATATAGATGTCGGAACTGGGGGGCTAGGGGGAGTTTAGCCGCCGACTTTTTTGCATAGATAGACATAATATTTATGCATTGAACTTTTTTGTTGGTTACCCCCCCCCCCCCTCCGCCACCATTTTCAATTTGCTTCCACGCCCATGTTAAAAATAATTGCCACGTCATAAACCAGTATGACATATATCACCAACCTGTCGTACATTCTTTTTGTATGGGGAAAAACAATTAATAGGCCTCCGGGACAGCAGCATCCCCTATATGTATTATTTACATGTACAGACCATTCACATTTTCAGAAATATTTGTTTGTTTGCATTCATTCAATTCGCATTTTGTTATTAACACTGGGTACATGAGCTTCTGGGGCATTCGGCAAACCGAAAGTAGAACTGTTTGTTGTTACGAACTGTCAAAATCACTTGTCAAATGTAAACAAGACTCACTAGCCAACTACAATATATCAAATAATTAAATTAATACAAAAGCTAGCACTAAAGGTACCACTCACCTTCACCATCGAAATCTTTTACTGGAGATATGATCGTTATTTTGTTCTATTTTCAGCTAATTATTTCTGGAGGTCGAACTGCGCATATCTATTTTTTTTACGCATATCCTTCCGTGATCTATCTTTTTCCTATGACTGTTTTCGTAATCGAAGAAAAATGTGGGCATATGAATGAGTTATGAAAAGTTATTTAGTGCAATTTATGTGTAAAAGATTAATCTGTATAATTTTATTTTTTCTTGACGGAGATTGTCGATTTAGACTTTGACAGACACGGGCGGATCCAGAGGCCTCGGTGGAAGTCCATGCACTCTAATATCACTCCCCCCCCCCCCCCCCCCCCCTTGAAATAGTTTTGGCTTGGTTGGATTCTTATGTGTTTTGTGGCTATACCTATTTCAGATTTTAAAAAAAATCAATGCAGTTTCATCCAGTCTATAGATTAAGGGTGAACTTTAATGATGAAAGCTAATTATTGACTCGGAGCGTAACAAAGCACAATTAAGCACCTGAAAATGGTTGATGTAATCCCCCCCCCCCCCCCTTCCTTCTGAGAATTTTTCTCACGCGATAACTTAGCAAATGTACGTGGATTCCTAGTCAATGCTATACCAATTTTCATTTGATATCATTTTAAGTTATAGAGATTATAGAGAAGAGGTACCACGTACATTCTCGCAATACCAAGGGTCCTGAGTCAACACGCTGCTGTCAAACTCAAGTCAGAGATTTGATACAAATGCTGATTTGAGTTTGCTTCAGCGTTCGTGGCACACTTAATTTTTGAGTCGCAACTCAGGAGAGTAAATAAAGTTTACTCTACTCATTTTTCAATTCCGTGGCCTGGTAAATGTGATGATGCCAAGTTCACAACCGAGTGCATCAATGCAATTAATATATTGTCCAGAGCTTTGGGGATTTACTTACGGATTTTGGATTAAACTAGGAAACCTATATGGATCGTAGAAAAATTATAAGAGTTGTCGCCTTTTCTTTCAGCAAAGGGGCAGTTCCCTACTCTGTGCGCTTATTAAATGAATATTTAAGAAAATATATTAAATAAATCTTAAAAAATAATCAAAATGATATTTAAAGAAATATTCGAAACTGCAATTTTTAGCCGGGTTTTTTGCTCAAAGAGCAATTGCCGGTGTAGCGTTGAATATTGACCCGAGTTGAAAATTGACCCGGGGGTCATTTTTCAACGTTGAACATTGAACCGGGGTCATTTTTCAACGTTGAATATTGAGACCAAAAGTCGTTGAATTTATACCCGGGGTCATTTTTCAACAGCTTGATATTTTTTTTCCTTACACCTGATGACGTCAACAAGTTGAAAATTGACCCTGTTGAATATTGACCCCACCTCAAAGTTTGAACATTTTTTTAGTTGGGAAGTTGTTTTACGGGATTTATCAATATCACTTTATTTATATTTCGGTTTCAATTTTTTCCCTTTTCAAGAATAATAGAAATAAACATACAGTATCACCCCGTGTATACATGTACATTTTGAACAGTGCACGATTTCAGTTATCTTCAAGCATGACAACTTTATTGTTGACAATACTTTCCAAAATCCATGGCATCCATAAATAACTACAAAACAACGAATAGGTCATAAAACAAAAATCTTAAAAATCTGCAGTCTAAAAAGTAGCCCTATATATATTGATCAGGTGGGTGGAACATCCCATCTAGTCAAACTCAGTATAAAAATAACAAAATTTATAGCCTAAAAATTAGAATGAAACACATCGACGAAAATGATTCCAATGATAGGTTATATTTGTGAAAAGAGCAATATAGCGACCATAGCATGTAAGTAATGCTGACTTTAAATAATTTGTTGAAATCCCTGTAACAATTAACTTATTTGTCAGTTGACTGTCTCGGCTTGAAAATTGATCGCTTTCGGACCATAAACTTGAGAATGAGATTATTCTTATTCTAAAACATTCTTATTCTATGGAATGTGATTCCTATTTGATTAGTTGTTATTTCTATTCCATTATTTGTAATTTGTATTCGATAAATTGCTATTCCAATTACAGGAAATGTGACAATATGATTCATATATCATAAAATTTACATTTATTTTCTCGAAAACACGCGTTTCCTATTCGATGTCATTGATATTTAAAACAATCGGTTGCTAGTCGCTAATTTTGTCATTCCTATTCGATAATTTTATTTTTTTAATTCGATAATTATTTGGTTTATATGCAATAAAGTTGTTGTTCGAAAACATACTAGCATCCATTTCTATTCGAAAAAAAAAGATTCCTATTCGATAAACTTTTCATCTTATTTACATAATTTTATCTCTTTGATCTCCTATGCGATGTTTTTTTTTTTATTCTTTTTCAATAATTGCCATGATTGCATTCTGGAAAATATGACAAATTAAACTAGAATTGGTTGTAAACTCAGTTAAATAGGAATGTAAAGTTTCACATTATTATCGAATATAAATCATTTTATCACATAGATTGACCAAAAAAAATTGAAAATTTTGGGAATAAGGCACAAGTTTTCTCTCTTCAAGACTTAGAGACTAGGGATCAGCATAAATTAAGCTGTTGCTGTTTAATGTTAAATAAATGTGTTTCGTTTTATACATTGATGGAGTAATTATAGAGGATTTAGTTATTCAGAATGCTAATTCAATTATTTGATTATGTCTCGTATCAATTTTTGACAAAGGTATCCAGTATGTTTTAATATAAAGCACATGTAGATCCTAATTCAAGACTTCAAGGCATTGTTACGTCTCATCAATTATGGAACATTAAAAAATATTAATACAAGTTGTAGTAATTTTTTTTCAGAAACTTCAAGTCATACTCTGTATTATCTTTAATTGAAAAATCAATACTTTTTTTGTTTTTACAAAAAAATATCTCCATTTTAACACTTGTTCTATGAGAAAACTAGGCGGGGGGGGATGTCACTCACTTTAATGAAATTTTCTAAAAGGACACCTGCAATATAGCATATGATCACAAGAAAAAAAGCATGAAGTCAATAATGAATGCTCTCTGTAATATATAGATTACCACTGGAACCAAGAAAATTCGGACTACCCAGTTTTCGTTTTCTACGATTTTCTTGTTGTTAACATGATATATAAGTGAAATAAATTAATTTGTAAGCAAAAACAAAACTACAGCTGTTCGACGGGAAAAGGTGATATCACCCATTCGAATAGGCGATATCACCTTTTCGAATTGGTGATATCACAAATTCAAATCAAATAGGTGATATCATCTATTGGAACAGGTGATATCACTTATTCAAATAGGGGATATTACTTTTTGCAGTAAATACCAAAACGGAGCCTCATATACCTATGAATTAAGTCACATTAGTGAAAACCCAATCATAAATATGTGTTTTTATGCTGTTGAATTTTGAACCGGTTTCATGATCAAAATTCCACGACCCGGCTCAGTTTTCAACGGATTAGTGTCTAAATTCAACACCTTTAGTGTCAGTATTCAACGTTGAAAAATGATCCCCGGGTCAATTTTCAACCCGGGTCAAAATTCAACGTTACACCGGCTTATGTCATCCTGGAAGTCAACCCCATAGTCGCCATTTTAAAGTTACGTGCAAAACTATAGTTATTACTCTCAACCGCTTTTGAGATAATACAAATGCTAAATAAAGCAACAAATATAAAACGAAGTTTTATCTACAATGAAGCGCATTGAAGTGGTAAAATTTTCCATTTAAATGAAACGTTCTGAGTCATGTTTTGAACGTCAATTATAACATAATGACACGCCCAATTTTCTTTAGAAACGAGAAAGAAGTATTCGTCGTAATGTTTTAGTACACCCCAAGCAACATGAGTTACACTGAAATGAAGATTTTTTTAATAAGAAAGAGCTATATATAGAGTTCCCGCTTATGTAAAACAGGCATTGCAGCGAATTTTACATAATTATGATTTTATCATGGTTATTGGAGTTAGCATAGCACATGTATCAGTCGAACACGTGCTTACTCGGTGTTTATGTTGGCCACCAATTTCACTGGCTATTATATTTATGAAATACCTATTCTACAGGTATTCGATTGAATCATTTGACCGATTTTTCCTTTCTAAAGAAATAGGCGTGTCTAAAGATAGCTCAAAACGTTCCATCCAAACGGAAAATTTTACCACTTCAATGCGCTTCATTGTATATAAATAAACATTAGTAGTAATGACTTTGAAACTTCAGTCCTAAGTCAAAGAACATAGTTCATTAGCGTAAGGATTTTTGATAATCACTGTTATCGTAGTTTTCTACACACACGAGGTAAAGCAGGAGAGAGAACCAGACTGGCCTGTTTGTTTACATTCAGCTGTGGTACCAGATTAATTCTGATTCTGACAAAATCGGACCGTGGTATTAGGATTGAAAAACTCACTGTCAGTGTCTTATCATTTATATTGATAGTTTTAAAATAATTTTTTTTTATCAGAATATAAACGTGATTCATGTAAGAAATTCATTTTACACTGTAAATGAGCCCGGCTCTCTGTACTTCTGAGTACTTTGATGAGCTTTTCTTTTGAAGACAGAAGAGCATAATCTAGAAGGGTTAGTGATATTTTAAGAATTGATAGGAATGAACATAAGGATGGAGAGATGTTCGGTGCATTTGTGTTGTACAGAGTTGGACCCACGGCCAACTTTCCCCCGGGAGTCTGTATTCTAAGCTAGGGCCCCTACCAGAAAAGGAAAATCATATATCAAAGCCAATTTACCCCCCCCCCCCACACTTTTATTCTCAAGAATAATTCTCTATATTTATCAATGCTCAAATTATATCGACAATCATCCTCACAACGTCAGGGGTACTGGGTCAATAAAGCGACAAATTGACTCAGAACTCCCTGGTGTCTTTCATATTTTTAGCATTATACTTGCATATGATTCGAAGGTTTTCATATTTTACCACTGCATTCCTTGCAAGAAGACGGTTCTCAGGGAACCAGTATTTAAAAAAATCTTTTATCCTTGACCTTGGCGTTTAACCTTCACTTTTGAGCTGTTTTACTAATAATATTACTTTGATGAAATATAATTTGTAAAATGACACGTGAGTATTATTTTTAGCAATACAATAAAACTTCATGTTTACTAAATTTATACACAAATAAATTATACTTATTGCCTTTGGCGTTGACTCCTTTTTTCTGTTCAAGATTGACATTATGTCCCTTTTGTTGCAAAGAACTTTCATCTAAATCAACATCTTCATATCAGGAAAGCTACACCAGCGGTGATTTGTGGACAAGTACACAGGTGCTTGGGGACAGGACCCCCCCCCCCTTTATAGTCCCCAGGGCCTTTCGGGGGTTTTTTTTCACATAAATTATATATGGATGAAACATTTGTGATATATTCTATCCTATCAATTCCGAAAAATTGCTTAAACTAACATTTTATAAAAATTTCTATCCCAATCCATATTTTATTTATAAAACGAAGGGTAGATTTTATAAAATGCTTGTTTTAGGTAATTTTTCGAATTGTTGGTATAGATTTTGTCACAAATACATGAAGTATGTCATTGAAAAATAATTCATGAGAAAAAGTCGAAAAGGCCCAGGGGTCTATATCGAAAGGGGGGTCCTGTCCTTAAGCACCTGTGATCTTGTACTACCCATTCTATGTATGTCTCATTAATTTTTCATTTGTGAAAACACATTTTACAGAAGCTGTTTTCCACCAGATCGTTATTTCCTGTTTACTTAGGGATCGAATATTGCAACATTTGCAAAGAAGTCTATAAAAATGTCAGTTCTTTTCTACCTGTCTAGCAAAAATTTCCGAGAAAAAAATCTGCTAAAATATTTCCAATCAGCTCATTTTTTATCTCATTATTTTACTAGAGTGCCTCAAATTAATATAGGGCTTCTTTTAATAAAATAATTCCCACATCTATCGGATGTATATTATGTATAAGTCCTTAGAAGTGTATCGACTCAACAAAAAGAAAATCAATTAATTTCAGAGTAGTTCGGTCTCCATCTATAGGTTTTGGTTGTATGATATTTCACTATTCCGGCTCATCATTTAAAGAGCAGAATAGATACATTGTACGCGTCTAGGTCAGGGGATGGAAAATTAAACACTGGTCCACTTTAAAAAATACAATGTATTTAAATGGTTAGTCTTAATCACTGCAATGGCATGACCACCCAGTGTGGATGGAAAGTAAAGGGTCTTTGGATATTTTCCTCCGAATTAAAAAAGGGGTCCATGGACCACATTGCTAGGCTAGATAAAAAGCAGAAATTAATATATATACCCGGTAAGTGCCCCCCCCCCAAAGAGGGAGGGGTATTATTTATTCAAACTTGAAAACTCTACATTGACTTAGGATGCTCCCATATTCTATTCACTTATTAGCATCATGGTGTGAATTTTTAAAGATTTTCCCTACACGTTTGATTATACCCCCTGCTTGAAAACTGGGAGGGTATATAGTAATCGGTATGTCCGTCCGTCCGTCCGTTTGTTACGCTTTGGGGTACCTATCTCTTATCCGCAACTCCTTTCATACACTAAAGGAAATTTAATGAAACTTTCACAGACATTTCCATTGTGGACCTCCTATTTTACTTTTTGATCTCACAAATCTTTCGGGTTTCCCGGCCACAGCAAAACATGGACTTTGCCATATGATTATAACCATATGGGAGGCGGGGGTATCATTTCGTGAGCTCATTGCTCACAATACATCTAGTTTTTATGTAAATTTTGATTGCTCATTGTGGTACCATCTTACCAACATGAGATATTAAAAATGAATTGATAATACATAAGAAAGCTTCCACACACGTTTAGCCCCTTAGAACGTTGGGGAGGGGGGTGAGTTTCCCCCACCCATCCCCTCCTTTGTAACTGTTGCTTGTTGCTACAGACCCATAAAGTTTGCAATTTTTTATTTAAAAAACCTTCTCAAAAACAACTGAGCCAGAAAAGTATCTTGGGGTAGACTAGAGTAGATTTTAAATGATTAAATAATGACCCCCAAGGGTAGGGCAAGGCCACTGTGCCAATTTTAAACAAAGTCAGTACAAAGTATTCTCAGGTAAAAGGGAGATTAATTTGTTAAAATGAAGGGTTCAAATTGTATTCAAGGATTCTATTCAATGATCTATCATTACATAATATTTATCCAAATCTTAATACAGTCATTTGATAATTCTATTTTCATGGTCAACCAAAATATATCATCCAAAATGATCCAATTCTGTATAAATTTACAATTTCTCCAATACGAATGCATTAAAATCCAAAGAATTTATGCCAGGTATTCCTGTAAATTGATGGTATTTCACAGGTCTATGATAAGACCTATAGAGATTGTGCTCATTCTGTCATTTATGTGAAAGAGAACTCAGAAATAAGTTTGACAGAAAACCAGATTTTTTGCTTGATATTTATTTTTTGTTAAAAGCATTGTGGGTTCACAATTAAAATAGGTACATGTATATATTGAAAAAAAAACCAAAAGTAGTCATGTTTTAACAACTATTTCAGTATTGAAACAAAAAAACACAAAACTGTAGCACTTCTACATCATCAATAACATCAGAAATCAGAAAGGTGTAAGATTGTAACAGTGTTGTTTTATAGAATATAACAACAAAATGAACACAAAACTTGCTAAACTTTCTGTTCTAAAACTTTCTAAAGTCAGGAATATGGCACCACTCTCACTTTTGTCTGGCATTGACAATCTGTACAAAATCTGGTTTAAGGGAAGCCCCTCCAACTAAAAATCCATCAATGTCAGGTTTAGAAGCTAGATCTTTGCAGTTGGCAGCATTAACAGATCCTGAAAATATAAAAAAAATCTGTGAGTATCCATCACTGTTTACACTTTTTTTTTCATTCTTGTATCTCCTTGTTTTTTCAGAAAGGGATAATCAACATCAAAAGTCCTTTAAATTTTGAAAAGTATACAGAAACATCATGCAATTCACTTCAGAAAAACATACCTACTTATTAGGCAATACTTACCACCGTAGATAATTCGGACAGCAGCTGCCACTTCTTTTGACACTTTATCTGCTAACCAGGCTCTTAATTTTTCATGAACTTCCTGAGCTTGTTCTGGGGTTGCTGTTTTCCCAGTTCCAATGGCCCACACTGGTTCATAGGCTATCACTACATTAGGCCACTGGTCTGCTGCTATATTTTCTGCATGAAAAAGAACAATTCTTTATTTTATTTTTTATTTTAGTCATCTTACATTATGTAATTTACTTAATGTTTAATAATCATATTTAGGGAGGGTAATCCCTTTACATACCAATGATGGCTTGAGTTTGTCTGTAAACCACTTCCTCGGTTTTTCCACCTTCCCTCTCTTCCAGCTTCTCACCAATACAGGCTATTACTTTCACACCTTGACTTAGTGCATACTTTGTTTTCTCACCAATCAGCTGGAAAATAACATTTATCTTTCACACTGATATTCATAAACAGCTATAACACCTATGTGCGATCTTTTTCCTAGATGAATTCTTCTGCTCTTTCAGATGAATGTAAAGAATCTTTGACAACAAAAAACTCATTCATCTCAATTTATATAATGAGGCATAATTACCAATTTTACAAATTTGACAAACTTAGCTGATAAAATTACTTAACAAAAAATGACAGGAAAAGTAAAATTCTACAATTTAGGAACTGCATGAGAGTCAGAAAGTCTGTGCATTGATACTCTAAGCATACCTGGTCAGATTCACCAAAAACATTTCTTCTCTCTGAATGCCCCAGAATAACCCATTCACATCCGAGGTCTTTAATCATATTGGCACTAAAAAAAATATATTTAAAAAAATGTCAAACATGCTTTTTAGACTTTATGATGATAAACAAACAAAACAAAAACAATGTTTATAAACTAGTAAATTACACTGCTATTCACCATGCAGGGCTGCATTTAAGATCATATAGCAGTCAGCCTACCTGGTAGGCTACATGCATGTATTTAATTTCCTCTTGTAAATAGACAAAGCACAGTTTGGGCAAAACCATGATTTTATTATGCAATGTTACAATGGTAAACATATAAGTCAATGAGGTAATCATGGGTAATTTCCCTACAACAATGTAAGTTTCACAGGGATATTCAAGATATACGCAGAAAATGCAGATCATGGTATAATCAAAACTATTACTACTACAATAGACATAAATATGAGTAAAAGACACATTCTTACACCATACACACACACACGCTCACAAGAAGAAGAAAAAAAAAAAAAAAAAAAAAAAAAAAAAATTAAGTTTTGATCACAGAGTCAAACGACGTGGATTCTGCCTCGGAGGATTTTCTGAGAAACTGATGCTTACTGACCAAAACATGGGTTGAAATAGATGAATAAAGCGATATGATTGGCTGAAACAGTGATCGAATTTAAAAATAGTACAACAGGCAATTTGATTGGATGAAAATGACGTCAATAGGTGGCGCTAGCTGGCTACCGATAGGGGGCGTTCAAAGAGAAATAGAAAACCCCTAGATATGATTGGTTAGTGAATAGAATCGTCCTCCGGGCAGAACCCATTTTTAAATTTAACAATTAGACCCTTCCAGCGGAAGATTCCATTATGGCCAAATTGGTCAAACGTAAATATAAACAAAAGGCAAGTAGGTACTGAGGAATACAATGTAAATTAATAAATATTAAACAACTTTAATAACACAAAAATTTTTGCATATTATTCCTACACAGTGTTAGAGCTCTGCTAGATCCTGCAGTGCTCTCTTACATAACTTAGCTGATATGATTTTAAACAGTCTTGGACAGAAGGAGAAATAATGTGATTGAAGGAGTCTCTCCCATACCTGATGTCTCCTGTAAAAGCACCACTTGCCACTTTATAACAGTTCTGAGCTGCCACTCCCACTTTAGAATCTACTACCTGTCTAGTGTATTCCAAGTAACATGCTGGCGGGGACACAACCACCTCTGAAATGGGAAGGTTCAAAATTTTTATACCTTTTTTATTCACAAACATTTTGCACCATGGCTAAAAGTAACCATTTACACTGTACCCTTAACATTTAGCCTATCTCTGTGCAGCCTATGTCTCATCAATATATTGTAAAACAAGAGATATTTCATCTTATCTAGCCAAGGGTTTCTGATATGCTACTCTCCTCATAATCCCTTGGCATACCGTGCTGTGAAAAGATGGGATTGTTTTCATCACATTAACTCAAATTTTGAACATGCACACACAGATTGCGTCATCAACAGAAATAAATAATGTAGTTTTAAAAGAATTATTACACGAGAAGGTATTGATTTTTCATTTGTTATTTTAATGTGCAAGTCTACATCTTCAATGTAGATTCTAATTCAAAATTTTGCTCAGATCTTAAGATTTTTGGATAACTCATATCTATTCACAGAATAACATGATCGTTTTTTACTTGTGTTTTTCATTTCCAAGAATAAAGTGTCTAAATATGTCCCAAACACATTTATCATCATTTACGAAAAACAATGGCTGATTAATGGTCAAGTGGTGTCAATCGCTTCAAAAAACAACTTAAGAAAAAAATCCCAACTTTTTTAACACCAAGGGCTTATGAGGAAAAAAGCATATCGGAAAACCTTGGCTAGCAAAGATGGATCATTTGAGATATTTGAAAAACATTTATGCCCCTCTCCCCCAAATAATTGGAATATTTCTAAGTCCAAGGGACAAAACTCTGTCAAAAATAGCTCAATCGTGCCCTGAACTTGAGATATTTATATGATACATCAAATTAGAATCTGGGAGTGAAAATGGTTACATGATAAAACATATTAAAACGATTTACTGATATAAATTATATCATATATAGCAAAGAAAAGTACATGTATGTTTATATTTGAAATTGTAATGAATCCATGGCCCTATAAAGGCAATTTTGTTTGTATTTGGATGTTTTTAAACTGTGGTGACGTGCATAAGACACAATAAGATTATTCTAACAATTAAGAACCCCATGCAGGTGTAATCTCCCTTGCAGAATTGTCGTTTGTTCCTCTCCCAGACACTTCTTCACTGCGCTTAGCTGCAGAACTGTAGCTCTCAGGAAAAAAATATTTTGACAGACCGGAGAGCTACAGTGCCACCCATTGTAAAAACTGTATATTTATTGCGCACAAAAAGTTGCGCTTAGTTCTGGATTAATTCTTTGAAATCCTTACCTCAATCACGGAAAAGATGAATTTCAAAATATTCCTTACTCCTCTATAAAGTTCCCTCGTAGTTGACATCTGTACGAAGTGCGTTGGACCGAATTGTCTTGCAAACTAGCTGCAAAACTGTAGCTCTCCGAAAAATATATTGATAGACTGGAGAGCTACAGTGCCACCCATTGAAAAAACTGTATATTTATTGTGCACAAAAAGTTGCACTTGTGTATGGATTTATTCTTCCAAATTCTTACCTTTATTGCAAAAAAATTAGATTTCAAAAAATTTCATACTCTTCTATCTAGTACTTTCGTATTTGACATCTACACGACGTGCGTTGAGCCGAATTATCTTACAAACCAAAATGACAGTATAAACAGACAAAATTTTTGATGATCTCCATTTCAAGGCCAGGAGGGCTATAAACAACAACTATAAGGTATGCTTTGTTGTGGAAACAGTGAAAGATTATGTGAGGAATACAATGTTACTAATATTTTGAGATGACAGTTTTAAAAACATGGAGAAATAAATCGATAAACACGGCACTTTTTTGTGCGCGATATATCATGTACAGTTTTTTCAATGGGTGGCACTGTAGCTCTCCGGTCTGCCAAATTATTTGTTTCAGAGCTACAGATCTGCAGCTACTTGCAATCCAAACTGGCAGTATAAATAGACAAAATTTTCTATGATCTCAGTTTCAGGGGCCAGGAGGGCTATTAACAACAATTATAAGGAATATTTTGTCGTGGAAACAGTGAAAGAATATGTTAGGAACACAAGGTTACTTATATTTTGAGATGACAGTTTTAAAAACATGGAGAAATAAATCGAGAAAATGCACACTTTTTTGTGTGCAATAAATATAGTTTTTTCAATGGGTGGCACTGTAGCTATCCGGTCTGTCAAAATATTTTTTCGGAGAGCTACAGTTCTGCAGCTACACTACACTCACGTCAACATTTAGCACAGATTGAATTACATTTTGCATACTTATTACCGTAAAATATATGAGAGCCATTGGTAGAGAGTGCCCCAAGTGCACTTTACTTCTTCATTTTTAGAATAGATTCTATCACATATTACACCACAAACCTGCTTTATCAGGTGGGGACCAATCGCCCTATTGGGATATAATAGTCTGTTTGGGATATAATATCACAAATGGGCTATAAATTTACAGTGCAAAAATTGAAAATTTTTGTTTTGGCTATAAATATCATAAATCTGTATCAGGACATTTAAAAAGGAATAACTTTTGGTTGACAAGTTTTCCTGTATGTCATTTGTTTAGGAGATCGACTTAACTTCTTGGGGATCAATCTAACAAACGGTAGGGTTGTAGAAAAACTTGCTTACCAAAAGTTTTATGAATAATGATATTTATTGCCAAAATAAAATTTTTAAATTTTTGCACTGTAAATTTATAGCTCATTTGGGATATTATACCCTAGATAGAACGTTCTATCGTTAAAATGATATTGTCCTATGGACCCGGTTTAACGATAGAATTCGTTCCGTGTATTCGTAATGTAGCAAAAGAAACACGGGCGATAACTGTCATTCAACAAATTCAAAGCAGGCCAACCTTAAAAAATTGTTTGTTTGGAAAAGACACAGGGCAATTATTTTTTTTTTTCAAAATTGAAGATACCAGGTAAATTTTGATTTTTTTATAAAAATAAAAATCTTTACCAAAAAACTTTGTATTGTGCATGTGGTAACGGGCAATAAAAAATACTCAGTGCATTACTACGAACAATCTAGAGAGTTCCGAATGTAAATATGGCAGGTAAATTTGAAGCCAAAGAAAAACGTTAAAAAAGTTAATTACATTTTCGTCTTTATATGGATTATTTTTTGGGATAAAAGGCATAAACAGTCTCAAAAAGGTTTGTTTTGATTAATATGGTAGTTATTTCCACCAGGGCAAATCATTTATATTCTTCAAAATCGTTTCGGAGCAGATCCGCTCCAATATGCTACATTGCAAGTATATGGGACATATTCTAACTGTGGTGAGGGCTTGTACCGAGACACAGTTTGCTTATTCTAACTAATTATACCCCAACTGGACTGTCATATCCCACTTGGGTGATTGGTCCCAACCTGTTTATGCTGACTACCTAGATGCATAGCATTTTTCAACAAAATGAAAGTCATATAAATTAACATAGACTGTAAATGGTAATAAAATTAAATAACTATTAGAGTCATGCACAAATGAAAACTTGTGCATGTATGCACGTGCATCTTTGCACCTGTATTTGAATCCAGTGGTCCTGCATTCAAGAATTTCGCGATGCCAGCGATGCTCTCTTTATTCCCGTTCATCTTCCAGTTTCCTCCAACAAAAAATTTCCTTTGGTTTGACATGGTTGTTGTTTAAAGTGATTTGACAGCCGGCTTTCCTCAAATGACCTTCCTTTTCCTTTGTTGGCCTTGACCTTGCACACAAAGTAAATACAGAGCATATATTGAAACTATGAATGTTCCGAAAAGTGATTTTTTTAAAGAAAAGAAATATAAAAAATAAATACGTGGATGAATACAAAGAGATTAAAACCGAAGTCCAGTCACAAATATTTCAAGGTCTGAACAAACCTGAAACTAAAAGCTGTTGTATTTTTTTACGTTGCTGACGGAAAAGTGTAACGTTTATGGTTCTAATAGTATGATTCTCCCGCGAAATTTTTACATAACCAACTCCCAGAACGCTGGAAGAGAGAGGTGAATTTCTAATTAAATTTAAATTTCAATTGTCTTGACAATTATATATTTTTGTGTACTCAAGTACAAACTGCATACTTTCAGAGTGATCAGTCAAGATGCCGAGGAAAAGAAAAGATGAACAGTTGGGAAATGAAGGGAAAAGTTCCAAAAAACTGAGGGCTGTCGAATGCAATGTTGACGAGACCTACGCCCAAAAACTGAAGAAGAAAAGAGACCAGGTAATTAATTTACACATTTAAATATAATCTTTGGAACCTTTTTTCCTATGTGCATGAAATGTAAACATTTTTTTCTAATAAAAAATCTTAAAATGGCATATTTGTGATATGATCTATACCAGCAAACACAGAAAAATTACCTAAAACAAACGTTCTATTAAATCTACCCTACATTCTCTATATAAAAATCAACATATAGAGAGGGTAGATATTTTTATAAAATGTAAGTTTAAGCAAATTTTCTGAATTGATAGGCTAGAATATATCACAAATGTGTCATCCATATATAATTTATGTGAAAAAAGTCTAACAGGCCCGGGGGTCTTATATGCACAGGGGGGGGGGGTCCTGTCCTCAAGCACCTGTGATTAATTTACACATTTGAATATAATCTCTGGAACCTCTTTTCCTATTTGCATGAAATGTAAACATGTACAGGTATGATTTATTCTCTGTTATTATTCCACTATGACTCATTCTCCCTGAGTTAGGAGTATAAGAACGAGACATTTACTTCTCAATAGAAAAAAAAAGATATGATTATGAGCAATAAAAACATGAAATTGTAGATTTATTGATGTAACAAATTAGAATAGCAGTTATTTTGAATATCTTGTATATATATATATACCTAAATGCTTCTTGGTTATATAATTAATTTTTGGATCATGATGGATGACACCTAATACTGTGGAATAAAATTTTCGTGGGGGTTTAATTTTCATTGTATTCGAGGTATGAAGTGACCTACGCATTTATGTCCAACACAAAATGTAAAACGTTACATGCATAGCTACTTAGCAATTCTTCATCCACGAATTCAAATCCCAAAAAACCAAGAGTTTTTACTCAATCCTCGAAAATTTGATCCCTTGAAAATATGTGATTTTACAGTATTAAAACAAATTTTGATGAAAATGGAGATTCAGATTTCAGAAGAGGTAGCATTATATGCATGGTGTTTTATGCTTCAATTTTGAAATACATATTACCATTACGTTTTATGGCATTACAATCAAGACATTCTAAATGTCCTGTGCATTTGGAAGATGCAGATCTATAATTATAAATTCTTTAACATAAAACTACACAGTGCACCACACCCCAAACCATCAACATTTGTAATTTTTTTATTATTTTGTTGTACAGGCAAAGAAAGAGAAACAAGCAGAGAAAGTACCCAGTAACAACAATAACAGGACTGATAGCTCTGAAATAATATTGGGACTTAAACCCAGGACAGTTCCATATACAGTCAAAGTGGCAACACCATCCTATTTGAAAACCAACAATCTGATCCCACAACTGCACGGATACTCCATGGGTGTCCAGAAAAGAAGTCTTTATCAAGTTTGTATTCAAATACATCTTTTGAGATTTTTTTAAAACAATAAATTAAAAATCAATCATTGATGCAATCCAGGGGTTTCATATGTGGTACAATGAACATTGATATTGATGCAACTTTGACTTTTAAAGATGGAAGACGTTTGAACTAGTGGTTTGCAATAATGTTCATTGAGTCATGTTTGTGAAGAAATGTTTATATAAGATTTCAAAAATACTTTTTAGAGTGCCACAAAATGTATGATAGATATGCTATCAGACATGCAGATCTCCACTATGATCAGTCCTTTTGATCGGAGAGTTACCTCGATGGAGTGGCACCCCACCAACCCTGATGTGGCGGTTGTGGGGTCCAAGGGAGGGGACATTATGTTGTGGGACACCTACAATACAAAAAAGCAGAACTTCATTCAGGGGGTAAGTTTTATATCCATAAATAAAGCCCTAGGGCCAAGGTGGGGTCCCAGAGGGTGAGCTGGTGTCACAGTGTCACAAAGTAATGCATAAAAAAATTCTGTTGTAATTTACTGAAGAACACTAGAATGACCTCAATAAGTCTTACTGATAATTAGTCATCCTCATACATCATAGATTCAAGATTCAACTATATTGATGAAGTATACGTAAATTTAAATATACAAGATACTGTAAATTCATTATTCATTTGTTTCATTCAGAAAGAGACAAAAAAAATAGGTTATTAACATAAATTGTAATCAAAAAGAGATGCATTTTGTTTTTGGGGGAGGGAGTGCATAAGAGTTGACACTTGTTCTTTAAGTTGACCTGCTTCTAGTTGTACTTTTTGCCTCTTATCAAAAAGGAGAACAAAACGATGCTATAAATATTTTAACTGAGACTGGTGTTATGTAGATGGGACCTGGAGGGATCATTAACGCCATTAGATTTTGGCCTCACGATTATAACAAGATTCTGACTGCTGCTGTGGACGGCACAATTACTTTGAATGACCTGGAGGGCAAAAACACTCAGGTGTTGGCAGACACCCAAAATGCCTACGAGTGAGTGTAACTCAGAAATTTAACAAAATGATCAGAAGTTTATGTCTATGTCACTTCTCAGAGGAGAAATTGAGAGGTGCAGTAAATTTTTGATCATTTTGACAAGAAAATGTATAGGTACTCTGCCAGAAAATAGGGACCATATTGTACGTCTATACTTGGAACTTCTTTCGCTCCAAAATTTAACTTTTATACATTTCTTTTAAATTCCAAGTAAAGAGTACTTATGAACCTTTGTAGCTGACAGGGTACCTAGCATTTGAAAACTATAATAATGAAATTAAATGTGACTTTACCATTAAAGAAAGGTTCTGGTGGAAACATTCAAGCCATGAAATTCTGGCCACAAGATGACAGTAAAGTAGTGTCAGCTGGACTCGACGGAACAGTCACGCTTCATGACTTAAATGGAAAACTTTCCTCTGTTTTAGCAGATACAATGAATTTTTATGAGTAAGTTAAAAAAAAAAGAAAGAAATTGGTGTTGAAGTAGCAAACAGGGTAATTACAAGTAGCATGAGTGCAGCTGACACTAATTTACACATTAAATTAATATTTTTTTCTATTCTTTATTAGGTTATTAAAAGAGAATGATTTAAAAGTCATTATTTGAATTAATACCCTTTGACTACTTTTTCAGTTTTTGGTACTGTAGTGTGGATGTACACCCAGTGAGAAAGTTTGTTGCAGCAGGTGACAATGTAGGAAAGCTTCAGTTTCTCACCTATGAGGGCAAACAGGTATGGCAATTTTCATCATTGCATAACGATCCAAGCTCTCATTCAGATCAAAATTAATATATTTGTTTCTTAATTTGTTTGAAACACTGTGAACTAGAACTGAACCATATATTTGGGGTTTTAATCATCAGATTTCAAATATTGGCAATGATTTGATTGATGATCATAGAATGAATAAATTAGGTCCCAAATCACACTTTCTGAACAAAATTTACATTTGTACACATTTTGGTTGAATGATTGACAAAACTTTGAATCCTGAAATCTGCCATAATTTTTCATGTGCTTGGTATAAACCAAAATCTTGATCAGAATGGGAAAGAATTTTTTTGGGGTTAGTAAGTCAAGATTTTTTTCATTTCAGACTTTTGAGTTTCGCCTTCACAAGAACAAAATCACCCATTGCGAATTCTCACCTTTGGAAGAATGGATGTTATGTACGGCTTCTACTGATCAAACCGTTCAGATGTGGGACGTAAGAATGATTAAAGATCGCAAAAGCTCCCTCTACACTCTCAAGCATGACAAGCCCATCAATTCAGGTAACTCAGGCATTCTACTTTAGTTTTGCTGTGAGATTTAGATTTATGGCTTACAGTAAAACTTGTTTACTACAAACACGAATATTCTGAATTCACAGATGTAGGGAAGTTTTTTTTTTATCCCTATGTAAATTTTTCGAATTACTTATACAGATAAAACGAATTACTGATATAGCAAAGTTATTTCATAGGTCCCAGTGACTTCATTACAACCGAGTTTTACTGTATATATGTGTATTGTGACTTTTAGTTTTGAAATGCAGATGAAATAGTTTATAGTATAGCTTAACCTTTTTGGAAATAAAAAATAATAACAGAGTAAAGAATGTCTTTACAATTTAAGATTTACACAATAAATATTTGTGTTTCAGCTCATTTCAGTCGCACCAATGGCTGTCGGTTATTAACCACAGATCAGAACAGTCAGGTACGGGTGTACCTAGCCCCTGAGTGGCAGCTAGAGAAAACCATTCTACATCCTCATCGATTTTTCCAACACATTACTCCGATAAAGGTAGGGTTTTTTTGAATTTTTATTTCCATGAAACTGGTTCTGTTGAAATTTTACTTCAGTAAAGTCTCCCAATCGTTGAAATATTTCTCAAAAAGAGCAAGCTTTGTGCAGTGCATTCTTTCAAGTAAAATTTTTTCAAACAAAGGTTTTCCTGTAAGAGTGGTGAATTTTTTTAAAAGTATTAGTAACTCCCCAAGAAGAATGCTTTGCCAAACAATGCTTCAATAAAAGCCCTCTTTGTAGAATGTACAACTCCAATGTTACTGTAAAATCCCTAATTTTCATGGGGGTTCAATATTTGCTGTACACATAGGTGCATCTATAAGGTCCGTAACAAAATAATTTAATGGTTAAATATCATGTTTGTCTGAAAATGAAATCAAACTCACACAGTCCACTCATATTTGTTGAACTACAAGAATTTAAAAATCCACAAAATCGAGTGTTTGTTATTCCTTTGAAAATTATCTATGTTAGATGCAAAAGGAGGTGTTTTTTTTTCTGAAAAAAAAATTGAATTTATTCAACACAAAGAATAATCTCAGTTTTGCAAAACACAATACTGCATATGTCACACAAGGACTAGCTAATCTTAACATAAAAAATGTTTTATTTCGTTTTAGGCAACTTGGCATCCCTTACTAGACCTAGCAGTGATTGGAAGATATCCTGACCCTAATTTCAGCGGTTACCATGAAAATGAACTCCGCTCTATTGATATCATTGATGTGGACTCTGAGAAGGTAGTGGCTAGACTTCATGATCCATCAGCACCAGGTCTTGTCTGTGTAAGTATTGATCAGACTCAGAGATAAATCTTGCCAATAGAAATGTTATGTGCTGTCTTGTTATTGAATGGTAAAATCCTGCTTAGAAATACATGTAGCCTTCACTGTCTTCTCTATAAAATGTTTCATCCTCTATTCAGCAATGATTTAAATATAATTGTCATATTTCCTCAATGATTAATTAATAAAAAAACCAAATAAGTTTTGTTCTTATTTATGGCTTGTTTTGTTGAAGACTTTATGGGGAAAAAATACATTGTATTTTAAGTATTTAGTTGAACAGCTTGCAGGAATAAAGTGAAAATGTTTTCATTGTAGGTAAACAAGTTTAATATCAATGGAGACACATTACTCTCTGGAATGGGTAAGTTAATGTTTACTTGACATTTTTGAACTTGAATTACCGGTAACTATGATGGTAGATCTTTAAATTTAAATACTTATATGTGGGAATTTCTGATTTACTGAAGTAAGATAAAATACTCTTTTCATATTTTCCAGGCATTAAAATGTATTTTTTCATATTGCAGGTGTCAACTTATTATTATGGAAGAGAAGGGAAGAGGCCGCCAAAATTCAAGAGTCTCTGATGTCAAAGATAAGTGGGAAAGGCTTGGATCAAAGTTCAAACTCGGGTCAAACAAGGTCAGGAAGGTTAAACCAATCCAAGAGAGCCAATGAAAAACTAAAGAAAATGAAAGAAAGTACAGAAACCAAACAAACCAAAGCAAAACTCATGTGGAAAACAACAGAAGAAAAACAGAAAAAGAAAAAATGAGAAAAACTGCCATAATGAATTACCACACTGTGTTCATGCATGATCTGCAGGACTCAGATTTTAAAATTTAGATAATCAAGAAATTTTTTGATTTGCAAGGAAAAAAAAATCACTGATGTGATTATGTGACCTACCCGGTAATTTGAAAGAACATGTTTTGCATGTTATTCAAGAATTATGTACATGTTTTATACAGCTGGTTGTTTTAATAGTACAGCATTTGTACGAAAATTGTTTGATTTGTAATTTGTTCAATCTCTGGTGTCAGTTGTGTTTCTTGAATACTAGCCAGCAGGTAGCAGCTAGAGTAGAATCCATTAAATGTATTTACCATGGTGCAATAAACTGAAGATAGGATTTTTTTTCAAAAGACATTTCTCCCCTTACAGAATGAAAAGTATTTTTCAGACAAAATTGACAGTACTATATTCTATATTACTTGGTTGTCAGTTCTATTATGGCTAATATTTTACAATTTTTGATATTTTTCCATATTCCTGACTTTCTTGAAAAAAAATTGTCTTTTGTAACAAACAGTTTTAAACCTTTTCATTTCTCTGGTATTAGATCAAAATTTTGCTCTCCATTTCTAAGCATTCATCATGAACTCATTCACCCCAAACAGACAATTGGTCTCTTTTATCTCCCAGGCTATGTACATTATATACTATTCATAATGTTTACATGGCAGCATTTGTTGCACAAGTAATTATTTGCAGTGCTTATCTATTTCAAAACATTTAGCTGAGATGTTTATTCTTTAAAATACACTATGCACTGTATTTGAAGATTTTAAATTACTTGGACTGTTCACATTTTAAGACAAAACCTAGTAAAACCATGGAGATCATGGTTGAACAAGGGAAACAAAAAATCAAACTGTTCACTCTGTGAAAGGTCTATTTCAAAGTCTTTATAGTCAACCTTTTCTTGCTGTTATATGGAATATAGAGATGCTTCTTGACACTTTTCATTTGTTCATGTTTTTTAAAGAGTTTTGGTTGCCATTTTTGATTTGATACTCCTTTTTTTAAAATAAACTGTATTTTTGATATGAGTTTTGTGACATTTCTTTTGAAACTTGATCCATGATAAACATTTTTTAGATCAATTAAAGGTATGAAACCAGAAGTTTCTGATGAGATTTTATTAGCTATTTAAAGAGAAATGTGAGAAAAGCTTTCAGAAGGCTACTTCTCAAACAGTTTTGACATGATTGCAACAGAAGTTTCTATAAGTTTAATAAGAATCATTTTGTAAATGCTAAAAAAAAAGGTTTTCTAGTCCATGTGCTATTTTAGTTAGAAACAGTTGAGCTATAATATAAAGCCTCATCAGAAACCTATAGTTTTCAAACCTTTAATTAAAATATCATGAAAAATATATATAGATGTGCAGAAATAGTGAAAATTTTGGCATGTTTACTAGTTAATCTTACTCAAGAACCACTGTGCCAGGAAAGATATACTAGGCTAAATTAATTTTCAAAAAGTAAAATAGATTTTTATTAGGAGACTAGATAGTGTTAATATTTTGACAAGAGACTGGTAATAGATGTTCATTTAATTTGAAACCTCAATATGGCATAGAACATCTATTTAGCTCTGTGGCTTGACTTTTATTACATTTAACAACTTGTAGTCCATTCTTTTAATGCCTTGTGGTACCGTATTTGCAAAATCTGACAGTCTTGGCTCTGGCAGTCGAAGAAAAATAATTAACGAATATTGCTAAAAACTAATAATTTATTAACGCGTATATACAGTATTGATATTTATCACAACTATCCGTACTTTAATAGTAGTAATAGAAATGGATATATATGTGTCTTAAACTTGGAACAGGTGTAATATTGTAGAAAAAAAAACAAGATAAAAACACAATTGGACACGCAGAGACACACAACATTAAATCTATACATGTATTAAGTATGTCCTGCGTACTGATGGTGTACCCGTGGGAAACGATTAGCTCATGAGTTATAAAATTTTTATGTGATGGAAATGGCATTTGAAATTCTTAAAAAATGATACATGAAATGAAAATCCTGGCCATAGGAACTAAAAAGTCCGAATATTTTTTTCAATTTGTAAGCCTTATGTGGCAGATATATCGCATGCTCTGAAGATAGATTTCTTAAAATATCTGGAATTTCCCTTTTCGATGAGAAGTCTGACAAATAAAAAATGAAGTGTTGGTATTTCAATTTTCGGCTGTCCTATATATATATATAGAATTATTTTTCATATCTAAATAAGTTGGTAATTTTGTCAACTTCCTCCCAAAATTTTAACTCCGGCCTTTACATCTGACCATCATGCTTCCCCTTATGAAAAGGCTCGAGAATGGACCTATAAATGGTGCGTACAGTATGCGATAACATGGTGAGTTTATTGCGTGTATCGGGATACACACATAAATGATATGTTATATAATTAATTCAGAGATGATGCTCGTTAAAATATATTTGATAAAAACAAAGATGCGTTGTGCCGCACAAATGATACAAATTCTCACTATAATGTATATTGTACCAAATTTGCATTAGCTAGCTGCTCGTTTGAAAAATTACAGTTTCATTTTCAGCGGTTCATTAAATAACCAGTTTAAGATTCGCTATTGTCGCTTTCTATTTCTTCGTCTCTTTCTATTTCTTGGCCCTCCAATTCTGGAGGATCGGCCTCTTCCGGACCCTCCAATTCAGGAGCATCTGGAACATCCGGGGTATCAGGTGCATCCGGGGCATCAGGCGCATCCGGTCCCTCTGGAGGCTCATTTGCCATTGGCATAGCCATAGCCATTTGAATAGATGCCAATGGAGTAAGCATTGGCCATCCCATTGGAAAGAAAGGACCGGGTCCAATAAAAGATGGACAGTATACACATCCACAACAAGTGTTGGAATACATATTAGGGACATTTGTGTAGGGAGGGAGCCTCCGTGGTGAGGTGTGGTCAGGGCAGCAGCGAATTTGGCACGAACAGGCCCCTACACCCTGCATGGAATGCATACCTGTCAAAATAATCAACTTTTTAAACGTCTTTTATACCAAGCCATGAACTGAAATAGGTACTAATGAAAACGATGTACTGGAGGACAATGCAAAATTGATGTGATACAGATGAGAAATACCTGTCGATACTTGTTGGTTCATCTGTCCAGGTGAAGTGTGCGGGAACTGCATTCCTGTTTGGTAGAAAGGAATACGATAGTTTTTATAGACAAATACATGTACAAGACTTTTCTCATTGATTATTTTATGACCGGTCCTAATTAAAAGAACGCAAAATGTTTTTCTATCCGAGAAAAAGTCGACTAACCATGGCTTTGGGGGTGAATCTGTCCCATAACTGTATGCAGAAAAAACACCAAACTTGTTACGGCTACCAGACTCAACATTTCTCAGTTCGAAAAGAAGAATGAAATAAAACCTGAAATTAAAGCTGTCATTTTAAAATCCAGTTTACTAGAACCCCCCCCCCCTCCTATAAGCAGTAAATCAAGAAACTCTCTCTCGCTCTCTCTCTCTCTCTCTCTCTCTCTCTCTCTCTCTCTCTCTCTCTCTCTCTCTCTCTCTCGTCAATCAAATTCGTTCTTGTAGTAGACTAGTCTATTTTTTAAATTAAAAAAAAAATATAAGAAACTTTCACTTTCTTAGAATTTACATAT